GCTCACCTAGAATAATTTAATAACTTTGAATTTTCCCAAAACAAAATGATTCATTACTCTTTGTGAAATACAAAATGATTTCAGCAAATTCAGTCAACATGCGCATACATCTGCCGTGCCCTACATGAAATGATGCGTTTCACATCACACACAGACACAGCACAGTAAGCTCGCCAACACGTTAGCATTTTGATAATTAATTTACACCAAAGGTTAGATTATAATTAACCAGCAATGCAACAGAGAAACTTTGAGAGCTAACCAAGATGACATGATATCTCGTATCGTACAATTAGATACGTGTATTGTTTAGCATTTATCATCGGACTGAAATTCATACGTAAGATCACCTCCCAATTATTTATACCATCTGAGACTTGAAGTACGTGCAACAATATTTTCTTGGGGCACTAGTTTATTGATCGATTTAGTAAATTAATAAACCATTTTTATCCACAAGTCCATATGAGGAATAACCTTATATAGCACAAATCCATCAATTTAAATATGAATCAGAATTGCACAAAATATGCAACACTTAATAGACTGAAAGCATTGATGAGCTTTTGACAATGTGCGTTTTTGCTACATTATGTCATGCATACATTTATTTTAATAACTGGACTACAAAAATTTGTTTATTGATCATCAAAGAAAGTCGTTGGACGAGTAGCGAGTTCTCGCTTCTGACAAGTTTCTGCTGTAAACAAAGCACTTGAGTGAACGCTACGCACTAAAAATTTGCCACTTCCTTCCTAACAATTTGCAGTAACGCTGCTCAAGTGAGAAACCTGTACAAAAAACGATCGACTGCAATTAATTGCATTAATGTTTTTAAATGCTAACCAAAGTAAAATTATAATAGTGTGTCCGTCCATATCCACCCTTATTCATGATGCACATGTCACCTTGATTTGTTTAAGGTCCTTTAGTTATGTAATGATGCATTGCTCGATTTCTACACGAATTTCCAATCAATTTTGAAGGAAGTAAACCAGCTCTCATTAAAATTATTGAATGTATTATTATCTTGCAATAATATTCTCTGTAACTGATAGGTATCAATTTTCACGAGCAGATGTGCATATTATTTACTTTTCAAATCCCAGCACATGGTCACAATATATTTCAAGCGTACATATTATTATGGTGAAGATTATATTTGGTAGTTTCCTTTCCGTGGGTAACGTACCATCGTTAGACATGTGCATCGCAAATCGCAACATATTTAACGTCAAGCGAAGAAGAGAATTGTGGGTTGTTAATAATGAATTGGCAATTATGATAAGTACGAATTGACCATTGTGATTTCATTCAATCAAATGGTTAGCAACTCTCTTTTCCATTAATTATTATAAATGCAAGGGTAGAACCGCTGACAATAATAATTTATGTAAATTTGACCACATCCCACAGCATGTATAGATGTATGCACAGCCATAATTAAAAGGCTAACTTCTTCAACCTCACAAGTAATGTAACCACTAAAATATGTACATGCACAATAATGACGCCAGTCGTATGACTTATGTATGCACGAAATAGAATTTCATGTAAACTGTAGTACCCGACCCGTACGGCATAACGAGATTCCATAACAAAACGCTTCCTATCATCATCCCTCGGCATAAATTATATTGAAACAGAATGTAAAATTTTAGAAATTCGTGTACTGATGTTTTCGTATGTGCATATGACACATACAACAAAAATGAGGATAAACCTTGATCGGTGCATTCAAACTATTTGGAATTACTTTTTTTTCTTTTTTTTTGCTTATTTTGATGCCAATTTCTTTATATTTTATATCCTGGCGAATCTTTGTATGCATTTACTGCACCACAACTTTTACTTATGATTGTACTCCAAGTTTAATATAAATGCTTACAACAAACCCTTGATTTTGATACAGATGTGCGATAGTGTTACAATTCAGAATTTTCTTAACTTGGGGAGACTCGTAAAGAAATTGAAAATGATCTCTTTTCATTTCATCCTCCAACTTTCAGTTCCGCTCTCATTAAGCCAAGTTTAAATTGGTCAAGAAAGGAGCAGCGGCGCGACCTCATCTCGTGAATGTGGCAGCGAATGAGAAGGAGAGTGAATTAACCGTGGTGGGTATAAGCACAATGTGCGTTTCGACATGTGTAGAAACCATTGTTTAATTAGCGGAAGGCAGCTTACTTAGTGCTCATCATCTGTGTCGTCTCGTCTCACGATGTCATCTTATCCTCATATTTTCTCAAAATTTAGCTTTGCTATTTTCTCCACATTACGTATAAGAATAAATTATGCATATTCCTGCATACATAAATATATGCATCAACATGGTATCATTTTCTCATGAAATAAACTTGAAGTATGTAAACATGTACAAGTAAAATTTTACCAAAAACACGACAGCAAAATCTTCAATGACAGACTGATGAATAATTTCAGGCAATGCTGTAGCTTAAAATTTGTGATTTTGTTTGACATTTATCATTCTATGGGGCACCGGGCCATAAAAACGGTGTCAATTAATTGTATGAAACTTGTATGTACATACATATTTGACAAAATATAACAATCAAGTGAGCATATTTAAATCTAAGCACTTATAATAAATTAAATTGTTATTTTATTTTATACTCACATATCTATAAAACCATTACATTAAAACATTAGAAAACCATTCTTTTCCAATTATTAAATTGAAAATAGACGTAATCTACTTTATAGACTCACTAAACGTGATATCATCATTACGTCATCATATTAATATCCTAGTAATTTGAAGTAATAAATTATTACTTATGCACATAAACATAAACTTGAAGACTCGATATGACATTGATCAAATGCATATGATGTTTGTAATGTAAATAGTTTAGATCAATATGATCAATACAAAGTTATAAGTTATTATTTATCTATGGATCATAAATCGTGATAATACGTGATTATTAGATATTGAATTATACCGTAATGATCAAACCAAACCCTTCCTTGAAGCTATTGACCTTCCATAGTTTGCACTGTGCACTGATCCAAATTGCTACTTTTTTGTCACATATGTATGTAAATTTTTATGCTCTGCCCTAAGGTCGTCAAAACGAATTACATAAGCTAACTTGTATGTTAGTTAAACCAATTAAGCGAGATAAATATGCCCTAGTCGTTTATAGATATGAGTTTATTCAGAAGATAGAATAATTACTGCGTGCAGTAGTAGATAAACAAGGGAGCTGTTGTCACATTGTACATGAGAAGTTGAGTTGCATAATTTTCTGAAAGCTAAAATTCGCAAAATTATCCGTTAGACTGATTTTTTTCCTGACTCGTGCAAATTGTATGTGAGAAATGGAATTTGGAACAAAATTCTTCAAAATTACTCACGAATAATTGTCTTACATTTTTTCATGAATTTCCTTAATTACTGTTTTCCCTCCCCTAATTCGCAAATTTCTTAATACTCGTGCTAGATTTAAATGTTAACGAAATGGTTTTTCTTCATACCGAAAAATTGCATTTTCTTTTAAATGGCAACTTTTCTTGGGTCATACATGTACATTCATATACTCATAACGCCAGCAGAATTTCACAATAATACAATGAGTTGCTGAGTTCAGCAAATATGTAAGGTTTCTCTCCCTCGAGTCCTAATAAAATTCGGCAGAAAGAACGCGTAGACAAGTTTGGATGGAAATTGTTACATAACGACGTGAATAATAATGCATAACTCAAGATAGCACATGCACATATAGGTGGCTGAAGGATATAACGGGTCTCTGGGCTAAACCAGACAAGGTTCAACTTCATTAATATCCACGAGTTAATCAACAATGTACCATGCGTCTTAATAAGAGCAATAAATACAATAAATGCCTTTCCTCTTTTAGCCACTTGACAGCTACTAGAATATCTGACACTGCGGATTGATGATGTTAACCACATTTGCATACTTAACTTAGTCCCTCTGACCAATATTCTATTGTCAATCACAAAAAGGAATTATTTGGCCATTGTCGCTGTATAAAGATGTGTGCCATGATGGTGTTTGAAACAGCTTATGTAATTTTGCGTCTGGGTTTGTATATCTTTGAAAGTTATCAATGAATAAATAGGTTGACGTGTTGTTAACTGCATACCAAATGCAAACTTGATAAGAACGAATTAATAATAAAGGTCGTCTTTAAATTTGTACCTATGCCTGATCCATCTTATTATGTATTCTCTGTCAAAAAGTTGTCGGTGAGACCATCTCAGGATGCACATGAGCGAATGTGGTTACGCAAAAGCCATAGCATCGTACATACTGCGAAGACAAGAATGGAAAAGGGGAAATCTCATCGCAATCACAACAAAATTTAGAGAAGGTTACCGACACCATCGTTTAGGTTGAAGCACAGCTTGAGTTTGTTGCACGAAGAATCCAACATGATGCAATTTAAAACGTTCGTGTAGCATGCTTCTCACCAGAACATATCTAAACACGGTAAGATCACTGACGCTCTGATTTTGAATAATTGCAAGTTTGGAAACTGCTCATGAAAACTGAAAACAATATTATTGCTTATGACAGCTTATACACATACTTATTTGCATATCCCTCAATCGAATTTATAATAATAATTTATTTTTTTATAATCTCATCCATCATTTGTTATTTATTATGATCACTTTCATATGCGTGAGCCAAACGCGAGAGGTGTTTTGCTTTGTCTTCTTCGCATGGTGTTAATTTGATAGCGTACGAAAGACGAATGAAACCTAGTGGAATGAATTATCGTTTTTCGATTTCAAGCATTTTGACGACTCAATCTGTACTCTGCGTTGGAAATTAAGTGGGAGTAGTGTAGAAATAAGAGAGTGCCAACTAATGATACTGCGGGAGGATGATCTATGGCCAATAAATATGTGAAGTAATAACAGCCAGGCAGATGAGAAGATGAAAAGTTGGAAGATTTTTTAAAGAAAGAGAATAAGAGTTGTGCATGTCAGTTTTACGATGGAATTACCTGGGAAGGAGTCAGGAATCACGACACTTGGACCGGCTTCTTTCCATTTCCCATTCTTCTGAATTTTCAAGGACTTGGCCAATAATTTTGTAGGTCTGTATTTTTTGTAAAACAGAAGTGGTTGAGTGATATCAACGTCCGAGGGGAGTACTAGAGTTTTCAGCAGATTTGCTTCATCGCAGTTAGTCAAGCGTACCACCCTCGGGAGCGGGAAAGAGTTTAGAAATGTGCGGATACTGTATGTCTCAGGGCTCCATGATAGAAACCGGAAACGGGTGCTGCGGGTAGATCCCGACTCCGATAACAAAGCTCCACTGCTGGAAGACTTAACCCTCACACTCGCACTTCCGCCAGACATGTTAATTCAATATTTTTTTCTAATTTTGTTATTAGGGTAGGAAAATGGGGGAAATTAATCAATGATGAGTGTTACGTAGTTAACGGGTATGTTGGTCGGGCAGTTGTTCTTTTTTCACAAGAACTAAACCAGTTTAACACTTGAATGACACATGAATATAAAAAATTTGCATCATTCAATGCTATGCAATATGGTCTTCTGACTGGCACATGCATGGATAGCCACGGTGCGTGACTGCACAATTTACAAAATCCGGTTTGTGAGTTTGTTCCGTATCCTCGTCCTGGCCCTTTGTGAACCTTATGGATTTTGTTGCCTTCTCCATTTACCGTGAGAGTCCATCGTTTCGTGAGTTACGCATGAATTCATACACTTTATTTTTTTGAGGCAAAGAAACTGTACAGGCTCACTCGAATTATTATTATATCACTATCGTTTACAGTAACTGATCTCCTGACACTTGAATTGCAACATGATTATGCGTAACTCGAGTCACTTACTCACTCCATTATTATTGCTGTGATGGATGACGATTATAATGGGAATGGACACAAAGATAGTTAATGTGTCATGTGCGAGACAGATATCATGGGGATCAGATCGTTTTCGAGATTGGAGGAATGATTGTAATATGATGTTGTAATATTGGGTTATAAAGTGAGATGAGATTAAGATGTCTAATTTGATTCACTTTCTCTATTTCTAGGCTTCTGGTATTATTGGTTGGTTGCTTGCTGCTTGGTCGGCTCTGGGCTTTGTTATATGTCTCCTTGTTTGATGTGGTAAACGCTTTGTGACTCCAGATTACAGAGAAGAGTCACAATTAACAATGCGTATGTACGTCTGGTTGCAATTCCTCATTGATGATGACAAAGTTGAACCAATTATTGAAAGGTAGGTCGACTCCACTTTTCAAAGTAAATTTCGCTTGCCACAGGAGTAGAAGCAGATGCCTTGATAACTTCCTCCCCTTCTTCCTCGCTGAAAAATGGCAAAATTACAGGTTAAACTCACCAGTCAAAATTACTCGGCTATGACTATATTTTATTATTATCATATTGTTTTAGAAAAGAATGCAACAAAAGTTGGCGTTTGCTCCATTGTACGATTCGAATAGTAACAAGACAGACAACCACAAAATAAGTCTTTTGATCTTTTATGAAACGATGAAGCAATAAGTTTACAAGAAATTTTGTCACTTGTTCCTCCTCGCTCAAGTAAGAAATTAATGGACCTACACCCAACTAACCAAGCCAATTGGTTCCTTTACGAGATTTCTTCTTCCCGTAACCAAATTGGTTGTAGTTGTAAGTGTAACAATGGATGGTGAAAATGCTTAGTTTAAATAGCAATCCAATTCTTCTCAAAGTCTTCAGACGACGAGAGTTCTCGAGTATTTTCGCATCACACTCTATTCACTTTGTTCCCTCAAAAAGTGGGATTCGTTGAACACTTGAATCGTTTAAGTGTTTTGCGGTTGTTTTATGTATTTCAGTTGTGTGTACGTATATCGATCTCTGCAGGTTTGTACATAAGACGTTGGCTTTATTGCACATGTATTGAGGAACCACACCTGTTGCATTTTATAAAAAAAAATATATAAACTCGCTCACTCTGCACCTAGTGGCAATCAGTTATTTTGAAAAAGTGACAATGTATTTGTTTGGGCCATTTTCAAATTCAATAGAAATACTTCTCCTTTATCAAACAAATAAATAAATACGTAAACGAAAGGAAATGCTAAAGTGCGAATCTATTTCTATTCGCACCAATCATATCATGCCGGACTTTAGAAAGTCAAGTTTGAAATTTAAGGATTCCTTGTACATTTTTTAGCAACCAGGTATATGCACACATAGTTAATGCCACTCTAATAAAAGTCTACTATACGTACTTATTATTATCAGAATGGTGAATAATTTTAATCCCGCTCGGATGCCTTTACTTGGGTGAGTGCATTGCATCAAGCTACACAGATTAATATTGGATGACGAAATAGTCATTGAGAATTGAAGAAAACCACAAATTGCTATTATGCATACTTTGATTAATTCGTTAACTTCGTCGGTGTTAGATTAATAGGACGTGCGTATGTACATACATACGTAAGTAGCCATGGCTTAAACTGGGCTTGGTCGCTTTTTGATTTAAATCATTTTTATTGAATAAGACGCTTGTCCTCTCACGTCTTTAACTTGTCTTGATTTGGTGACAGACCGTCTTTGGTCGAGTATGTGAAGGTGTCCACTTAACACGAATGGACAAAAGTTATGCAACCATTGGCGATTAATCAGCTTGAAATGCGAGGATTATTAAGAATCCAATTAATTTGACTTAACCTGAAAGTGCTAATTCATCTCACGCTTCTTGTGCTTCTCACGCACATCGCTCACTTTGGTGGGGATGACATTGAATAATCTGTGCCTCTTGTTTGAATTTTTGAATTGTCTAGATTGTCATTTCAACATATTACAAAATTCAGAAATTAACAAAAAAAGACGTGTTTGTTAAGTAAGATCACGAGGATAGGATAGTTATTTCTCACTTTAAAATAAATCTATAATGAACATCAACAGCCACTGAATATGCGAGTATTATATGAAAGTAAGTACATATTCTATGTATTTGATCTTGGGATTACAAATGTTATGAGATGACGAAGCCTTATCTTTGAATGATTTCTTGTCTTAAAGAGCTACCCTGTGACATTAATTGCTAATCGAAAGGGTTGTTCTATTCATAGTGCAATTATCAGTTGTCATACAATTTTCTGCTTATATAATTTCAGTTTGCGAAGGAAACATAATACAAATTTAAGTAAGTGAAATTTTTACCGATTTTCAACAATCAATAGAACCCTCATTGTTCTGCGAGGAATTACTAACAATTAATAATTATAGAAATGATAAATTTTACGCAAATAAATAATTGTGCAATCCTTGTGCACATTTAGAAACTCACAAGAGACAGGCCGGTGAGTGGGTCAATGTGATATTATTAAATTGTCAAAGGCTGCATTGTGTATTCAACCAGCATGGGCGTGAATACATATTTTTTAACACCATAAAAATTTGAGATGATTGAATGGGATCGTCTCCTAAACTTCAACATGGTCATTTGGTGCTCGTATTGTTCAGCTTTCTCACACACAAGTAAGTCCAGTGTCACGTCGCTGACGACTCTTCCTTTGAGTCCTTCGTGTGACGGGTCGTAAATAGTCGCCATCTAAAATCTGATTAATATTTCTTTCTTTCATTTCATTGCTTATTCATATTTTCTCACTTCTCAACAACTCGTCAGCTTTAATCTCCTTTGGGTAACAAACGGTTATGTCGACGTTCAGTGTAAAGGCTGTCCGATAAATTATTTCGACTCATTTTAGAAGAAGTATTTGCAATTGTACTACAATCTATTCTGAGGTTCGGACTTATGATCTCATTCTGATTCGTCATGCGATAATATCATCGTCTATTCATTAAAATCTTACTAAAACCCTCAAACTTTCACATCCCTTCAAGTTCAGGCGCAAAATTTTTGTAAAATAAATTGAATACAGAAACCACCAGCGGTTAAACGGTGTTAATTCGTCACATTAAAAACATGAAAATCGTCCCCCATGACTTTGCGTGAAGGGAAATTATTCTAATGCAAATACTATTTTTAAGCTGACCATATATGACGAATAACCAATGAGATTTGTGTATGACAAATCCCCCCTCGCTGATCTTTTATTCCGTCATCCGTCTGAAATCTTGTGCTGTGAATCGCTCCATGCCTCGCTCAAAAATTTCTCAAGAAAAGGTCAAGTTTATTTTTCTTCGCAGGGTTTGATTATTGGCTTATTGGTTACGGGACGGGCTATAAAAATTTGATTTCAGCAAGCATAACAATGCCACGGCTTATTAGTTCCATTGGCATAAACGGGGCATTGAATATGCGTAAAATATCAGCCAAGTGAGGTTGTGAATAGTTGTGATATTATTCCCCCCACAAAGTGACGCTATTTTATGACTCGTAATGAACACGCCACACCTTCGAACTCTACAGAACTTCAGAGCAGGATAGGCACTTACGAGAAGTCATTTGTGTGGCATGGTTTTTTTAACACATCATTAAACCAAATAATACCCACCTTTAATATTTATGCCTTGATTTTACATACGACTTATAAAAATTAATTTACACGAGTATTATATTTTAATAATAGAAATTATAGAAAATGTGGTGCACTTACAAGGTCAATTCCATAAAATTTTTGCTTGTATGTAATACAACTGATTTCTTAAACAATTAGGAACTCATAAAAATGAGTTGTTCAAGTCACTTTAGAGAAAAGTACGGCTCTTTTTTTATTAAGATTATCTTAAATTTTAACACAGTCTGTCTCGACGATAATGGACACTTTCACTCCAGTTCAAACTATCAATGTTCCAGTTCATATAAAAACAAATCCGGTTTTCATCTCAAAGAGAGGTTTGGAATGTGATAATCAAGAATAAGAGGCGAACTGAGATGTGATGTGGTCGGGTTGAGGGAACCGTGCAGACTGAGTGAGTCAGGTATCCTGAGGAGTTGCATGTTGTAGTGAAAAGCATTAAGACAAACCTGATGCATGTTTAGGATTAGCTGGGAGTCTCTTTATTGCAGCAATGATAAATGCAAGAATCCTGTACGCACAAGTAGCCAAAGTCGTTTACATCTCTCCCCACGTATAATCGAAGCAGTAGTAAGTTCACTTCGTTCAAGAATCGAAAAAAAGTATCCAAGAGGCATTTTATTGCAGCAGTTGGTAGCTCAACATGCAGCAGACTTCAATCTCGAATCTTTGCACCAATTCCTGGAGCTTTTTCAAGTTCGATTCAACAGTCGGCCAACCAGAATGCTCATATAATCAAGTAGAAATCAAGTAGTAGCGTCAGGGTTCTGGAGCAATTTACAATTTCATCAGTTGAGCGATTCCTTCCTTGCTCCAAGTTTCCCAAATCTCCTTCCAGGGTCACCAGACTTGTGTGTATGTTCTTAATTTATTTCTTAGTGCGAGCCACAAGTTCGATCAAATTTTCCTACATATGTATGTATGTAACTCTGATCAAGTCTTTATGATCATGCGAAATATGGAAATTTTTATTACGAATAAAGAATTATTTTTATTTCAAGAATGCACAAATTTTCCGACATATCGCAATTTCCATGAATTTGTTAAATTATGTAAAACAATGAAGGAATTTGTAGTAATTGACTGTCCAAGGTCGGGTTAATAATGATGACGATGATGATGATCGTTATAATGAGTTGATTGAATTTGTGCTGCAACCACATACAAAGAATCCTTCTGGCTTTGTGATGATGAGGTGATCAACCAGCCAGCTTACGGGGCAAGTCGCATAATCACAATAATTATTAACTGTTGGCTGATCATAGCATTTACTGACTCACTGAGCAACTGCCAACAACGCGTCCTCATTGAAATCATTATTATCATATTATCTTAAATTAAGCTCTACGAGACGACATGCCACCACTCTCAGAGACGACGTTTTAATTGCAGATGCAGCGTATGAAAATTTTACATGATCATTACTAGATTACATGCGTAGAATTGAGCATACTCGAAGGAGCTAAGGAGGGGAGCTTGCGAGGTTGATAATAACAGATCCTGATGCCCTTTGTATATGTGGTAGGGTCCTATGAGTGTACTAAAACCCTGAAGTGGTTTGACTCCATAGCCACATTTGCGCCCGCCACACCCACTCAAAAATGTCCAAAAAACGCTTTCACCCCAGTTTTCACTCACTCAAATCCACGCCAAAAATCCAATTTTACTCGGATTTTGAAATTTCTTTCACCATTTCGCTCCCAGATAGTTGCTTTCTTCAATCCAATGTCAAACTCAATTTTGATGATGATTATTTCGCAGGCATAATTTGCGTTGTGGATTACTACAACAATGCTCATTCAGAATTTTAAATTTTAAAAATACTAATAATTTCGAAAATATTGAGTTTGATATCGAATTGAAGAAAGCAACTATCTGGGAGTGTAATGGTGAAAGAAATTTCAAAATCCGAGCAAAATTGGATTTTTGGCGTGGATTTGAGTGAGTGAAAACCGGAGTGAAAGCGGTTTTTGAGCATTTTTGAGTGGGTGTGGCGGGCGCAAATGTGGCCATGGAGTCAAACCACTTCAGGGTTTTAGTACACTCATAGGACCCTACCACATATCCAAAGGGCATCAGGATCTGTTATTATCAACCTCGCAAGCTCCCCTCCTAAGTATGTGTTAGCAAGAGTGTGAGTTGAGTCGAATTAATTTCAGATTTGCATTTTTTGGTAAAGGTTCCAAGTCATTGGTAGGTTGTGCCGCAAATAATTGCAAATTGCTCATGTTTTTCATTCTTGCACTTGAAGTTTTGGACTAATGAAGGAAGAATGACTCATTGAAAGATGACAAACTCCTCCATGGATAAGGATAAATGTTGTGCATGTGCCATAATGCTTTTTGTAGTTGGTTCCCTTGAAACAATGTCTGCATTTCGAGTAGTTCTGAACTTTTTCCATCAAATTTCTCATTAATCCACCTAGCAATAATTTCTTGTAAGGGATACAATCGTGTTCCATGACTTTGGACGTTACTTAATAAAACGTAACTTGGGATTAATCTAGCGTATCTGATTGTTTTGAAATTATTCATCTTCATTCATTTCAAAAACGCAATTGTGCCCAAAGTTTGGAAATTATGCAGACAGCCCACGCAAAGCTTGCCAGTTGTTTGCTATAAAAATTAGTCGAGTTGGTAGTGCGTTACAAACTCAATCTTCAGATACTGCAACATGTAAACTTATTGCAAAGATACTCTAGTTTTTCAATGCTTGTATTCTTGGAGACCACTTATCCAAGAAAATTGGCAAAACGAACAGATGAATCACTAAAACTAACCAAATTAACGAGGCGCAACAGGTGCCGTTTGGTTTATTTTTGTTTTATTTTTGGTAACACCAAATTACAACATCAAGCAACCCAAAATTATCAGTCCGTAACGTCATCTCAAACATCTCTTGATAAAACAAAGTATAACTTGAATATTGGGGGAATTAAGCAATAACAAGCAAATTATTCTCGCAGTCTGTCCTGTAGCAAACAAAACGGCCAAATTAGATCAGCAAATGCCTTGTAACAAGTATTAATTAATGCAAATCTATGATGTAGAATTAACAAAGATTGATTCAGTTTCGTTCTTTATATGCTTTTGTTTGGACTTTATAATGCATATTTAAGAGACTTTAAGTAACCACTATTTAATTAGAGTTCATACAATTGACACGTATTTAGAAATGCTAATAATAAAATTGAATTGTATGCATGCATAACCTTTGACTTCCTTTTAAACGACATTTCAAGTCACAATAGAATTTTGATCCCGTTAATTGAATGCGTGTTTCTGGGAAATGAAGCAGTTTTGACAGGATGGAGGACTATATAATAGCACAAAGTTGGAAAAATTATTTATGCAATTCAAATTCTGGGTTAAATATGTTGTGTCCTTTGCACTGCATTGAGCTGAACCCCATTTCATTCGCGGATTTGTGAATGACGGTTCAATGTGCATACATACATCCATATGTGCATACATTACAATAAATATGTGAGGACTCAATTGTTGAACTCTGTTACAGAAGAATTGAGAACTATTGTCATGAAAAATTCTCACGAAAACCACCCCAATCGGTCTGCATACATATACTTACTTTATCATCAGTTGAGCATTATTAACGTACTTATTTCACATCACTCATTGTGTGGTTTGTGTACGCCTCAGTGCAAGGAATAATGTTTGTGCAAAATATTTGCGGCGTTTGTTTGTTGACACACTTCTCATAATAAAGATAACATTATTAAAATGTAAGTAGGATTGATGTTGCACTTAATCGATGCGATAGTATGTGTTGCATTGGTTTTTCTGTTAATCTTGGATTAAATTAGCTCAAGGCAGCAACCGGTTGGATTTTTTCCTGCTTTACATTTCTTCACAAAATTAGGAAAAGTCATAAATTGTCAGTGTCAGTAAAGTAACATTACTTGAAAATCATTGTCGTCATTTGAATTAGTTTGTTGATAGGTAAATTTTTGCAATTTAAAATTTAAGACACTGCAAATTTCAGAGTAGTTTCTTGCTAAGTTAATTTAAATGAGTGTTTTTTAGTCACATCAAGGCTAAAGAAGAGTCGGTTGGTTGAGAATGGAATTTATGACTGCTGTTGAATGTTTAATTTGATTTCAGTGCATACGTTATAGTTTTTAATGCCCAAACATATGTAAAAGCAAAATTAAATAAGGTATCGCGTATGAAATTGAATGATTACAATCCAACATAAAATAATGGCAATACAGAAGAAAACTAATGTTATGACTTGCACTAGAAAAAAGTTGACAACAATTTCTTATATAATTTAAGAGATTTTTTAATAACATGTTGTCTTATGCTGCACGAAGGTTATTGCGGTGTCTTAAAAACGGGAGAGGAATATGTAACAGATCACCAAATAACTTTATTCATTATGTACATTTGTCAACAAAAGAGGATTTTTAGGATTTATTTAGCAAATCAAATATCTAATAATGAGTGTAATGATTTTTGTGTTCTGTCTAAAGCATTCCTTGCAAATTGTAAGTTACAATAATAGTTTGCTAAGGTGTGAACTTGCAATATCTACAAATATTCTGAAAACTTAAAACAAAAGAAACTAATTTGTTAAAAACTGCACCTCAACCGGGATTTTATGTACTTGCAGCTCATTTCCAACATTTCTCGTCTTTCGTAGACAGCTTAATATCAAATTTTTAAATTGAGGGAGACGATGAAGGCGAGTCCATGTCCAATTTTTTCATATCCGTTCGTTCATACGCATTACATGGAATATTTTTACGGTGACCACAACCTGCCAAAGCATTTCATAGCAAGACGTGAAGAGCTGAGAAGAGGCAATTTCCCTCCTCACAAAAGCATTTAAGCATTAAATGTCGATCTAATAAAATTAAATGAGGGGCGAGTGAGCGAGCACCGTTGTTTTACATCATGTGTTTGCTTAAATCTTCAAAAAAACTTGGTTCATTATCGGTGAACATGACAAACTTTATTCCATGAATTTGCCGTTGCGTACCGTTCCTTATTATGTTGCTCTGCTCACCCTATTCCGGTTTTGTTTCGCACTTGATCTTCAGCCCTGCCTGCCACACTGCGCAAATCACATTCTCTTTCGTCCGGAGTGAGTGAAATGTAATGTAATATTTTCAATTGGCGAGGGTATGCGATTTTCACTGGTGTCAATGCATATTTCAGAAAATGCTGATGTGCACCACTGCGGTCAATGATCGGTAAATATGAGTCTGAGAGTACCACTGGTTACCATAAGTAGACTCCCTTGCAGTCATTTGATTATAAACTGCCAGTCAGTCAGTACAGGTAAACCGGCCCCAGTTTATAACTACACATAAACTGGCCAAGCTTGAAAATTAGCTGCATAACGTATGCAGCTGAAAGATGCAAAAGAGTATGACTAAGCATGTACATTTGAAGTATGTAGATATGAATTTTTAGTAATAACCTGTAGTAAGATTAGAATTTTAATTTTACGCTTGGATCCAAATTAATAAATGTATTTATGTTGCGTGATAGTTGATTAGAGATAATGGGTATTGAAAATCTTGCCATTAGAATGCGTAATTAAATACACAAACATTAATTACTGTATTTTAAGCTAGAGTGAGTATATAGCAGTTTGGAGAGGTTCGCTTTGATGTATTGCAAAATAAAGAAAACGTCCCGCACCGGCTTCCTCCATCATAACCATAACAAATATTATTTAATGCAATACACCTGCTATCGACAGTTGATATGTAGTAGAACGAGGAACAATCACAACGAAAGGATTACTAGATAGTGGAATTGCATCGAGTATTATTATGCTTCATTTCACGTTGAGAAGGTGCACTTTGTGTACATATTCAGTAATTAGTGTCAAAATTAGTAAACATTATGCACTTACCCGTGTATTTATAGGAAACGCACGGTCAGAGTAACGTTCATAGTTTATCTTTACACACAATTCCTGTAGATAATTGCATTAATGCTAAAACTAGGAAAATACCATATCAAAATCCTTAACGAAGCTTCCGTCATTCATTCTCGCCTTCTCGCCAAGCAATTAGACACAACTCGCAAAGATTACAGATTATTATTATGCAACGTAATATGATAAGAATGATATGATAAATGTAACTCATCAATGGTTGAATGTGAGCTGATTACAGATTCGATTTGTAGTAATGCAACATTTCCTTCTCAATTCTCAGCGCATAATGAATTAAGCTAACTGCTTTAGATGTCCAACACCTGAGAGTCAAACAGGCCAGCACAACGAAGCATAATTAATAATGAGCGATTGAGTATGTTTAGTTTGATGGTTGACAATTAGTTTGGTGGAGCTGGCGTGTTTGAAATATTGGTTCCTATTGGCGAATTTACGTATCGTCATCGTGTATTACATGCACGATACAGTCATTCAGTAGCAGTAATACATTAATTCAGTAGTACATTTGAATAATTAAATACCAAATAAAATGGAAAGTATAAAAGTATGCATCATTTCATTGTGGATAAAATAAAATCAAGAAAATAGTCATTAACTAAAATGAGTGAAATTTGATGGGTAAATTAGAATATATGTATGGATGAAAACTAAGGATTCGGTCAAACTGATTCACCGTAATATTTCCATCGTTCGACCGTAAAATGCCCTTAACCAAAGACGTGACACATTAAGCTTAATCAGGGTTTATTTGTCACAAGTATAAGTGGTCAAAAGAAAGATGACTCGTGTTCCTTTGATTGCTGCTTTGTTGACGGCACAAAATGTCACATTACTGCGAGATAAATGTGGGATATTAGCAAAAACGTAGTCATCTCACTCTCACAAATTCTATGTATGCAGACAGGAAACAAAAGAACTAACACTGTTTTTACCAAATGCAACTAACAATTTCACGGTCTTGAAATCATTAGACGCGATAAATAGCTTAGGAACTGGACTAATTCGTGACAGAAATGTATAAACGAAAGTTGACAATACATTTCTCAAAAGTCTCATGCACTAAATTGAGTCGAAAAATAATTATGAAATGCTCACGATCTTGATAATTGAACTGACCATTACTTTTTTATGAAAATGCAAATTATGTACATAACCTATTTCAATATTTATTATATTATTTGCTTTGGGTTTCTTTCACTATGCCGATGACGGAGGAGGGTTCGATAAGTGATGTTATCTTGAAAGGAATAACGTAAATCCCATTCAGGTTATCAATCACCATTCCGTTCAGTTTGTGTAATATTTTTCAAACTATATGGAAATTAATCAGAATGATTAATATACTTACCCGCATATACTTCAGTGCGTTTAACCTAGCAAAACAATCATAATTGATTCATTGAACGAAACTTCCCTCATACATGTACATAAATCTGCGTCATTGCCATACATGTTACTGTGCATATGTATGTACGTGATGAAATGTGGCATAGACTTACAACATTATCTTCAGGACTTAATACTTAATCAATCATTTATCCAGGTATTGCTCCAACAAGTTGGTGCTACAATAATGCGGATATTTGCCATATATTAAATCGGATTTATGATGTCCCTCGACGGGTATAACCACGCACGGCAGGGCCATCGATCATCTGCCTTATCAATTTACAAAGTTCCACCCATTGTTTGCCACCGCATAAATACCACTAAGACCCGGTGTGCCCTTTCATTCCCCTTCTCGTTTCACCCGACATCATCCGTCTCAACGCCAAAATGAACAAGACCGCTTTCGTTTTCGTCATGTTTGTAGCCGCCGCCTCGGCCATCTCACTGAGCCGCAAAGTGGACACACTCTCCGAGGCCACAGGAGTTGTGAACTTCCGCCGGTGCGGAGGTCTTGGGACCCCTCTCCAGCTCAGGATCAGCGACTGTGTCGGAAACTGCAGCTTTGAGCCTGGCAAAATCTACAATTGCGAAGCTGACTTCATGCCAAGTAAGATAAAATAACTTGAGTTTTCGAATATCTAATTATCAACTAGAAATTATTGCTAATAAATTCTTTTGTTTGAAAACGTAAAGGTTCTGCAGCTCCATCTCTCACCCTCCGGGTTGAAATTTGCATGACTTCAGGCCTGTGCATGCAAATCATCAACGCCGAACTCCCAGGATCCTCAGTCCAACCAGGCATGATCTACACTGCCCGTTACTCCCTCGTTCCCAACGATATCCTTTCAGGTCAAACTGTCGAATTCAGGGGTCAAATTGTTCACACCAACAACCAAATCGTGGAGATTTGTCTCGCCGCTGACGTGATCATTTTGATTCCAGTAGGATAAGAAGTTTACCATATTTTAGATAGATTACAAGTCGTGAAATGTTTTTGAAACCAAATGTGAAAATAAAATACAAATTCAAAATTCCGATACATTTAGCTCGACTAATTTATATTGCATAGTATCAATAATCCCGAAAATATTAGGTAACTCATTATAGTGTACATATACGCATAATCAAATCGTACTAACAAGTTGGATTTCGAATTCGAGATAAGTACGTTATCAGTTCATCAGAAACGTCATGCATAATTGTATTTAGCTTGGCCAAGTATAAATTACATCACTTTTAAAATCAACACATGACGCAGGGGAATGTGTAAAAGGTTGTCGTCATAAAATACAGAAGCCGCATGTCAAAAACTTTGTGATAATTTAAACAATTAGATTAAAGTTACATCAAAAACCAATTAGCTAAACGGGTCAACATTCAAAATTTCAAGGTCAAACGTCTCCTCATTGTTCCTTCCTTATTAATGCATGTCAGCAAGTGAGGAGGAGAACATCAATTTATTGGACATTAAGGAATAAATGATCGCAGGTTTAAATTGAATTTCACCCCGCTCCCAATGTAATCAAGTGGGCACGTGATTTTCGCGCGAAAATATCCTGCGATCATTTATTCCATAACGAGCAATAGAATTAAAACGCCACTCCTTCTTATGACGAGGACATCAGTGACACTTGACAGTTTGGAGATACTGTACAGATCTCGTAATTGATGTGACGCTGGGAAAGTTTGTTATGTTCTATTTCATCACTGTCACCTGTGGTCTGGTTTCAGGGGGTATGCAAATTTGGAGAACGGAACAATGCTAGACTAATTCGCTACAGAATTATTATTACACATTACACATTTTGAGGTCAATGAGTATCTATGATCATCGTAGAAAATTTAAAAAGAAAAATTCGTCTCGCTTGTAATTATCTAGATGGCATTCCAATTATGAATAAATTTGTACTTTATATACATAATAAGCGCTAATTTCTGTTCAGAGTGAGTTTTTAGGCAACGGGAATTTATCAGTTATATTGCTATTATTTCAAAATTAATAAATGTGTTGACAGCATATAATTTGTAGATAAGCCGAATAATGTTAAAGGTTACCATCAGTGTTGTTCTATTCACATTCGGCTGCATTTGAGCAGCATCACCTTTTACATTGTCCTTTATTGTATCAAAAGCATGTATGTAAAGATACCTTTTAATGTTTTTTGGGTACAAAATTATTATTAATGGAGTATTGTTGCATAATAATAAACTTGACAGAGAGCCCAGAGCAGCACAATAGATGCAACGGTAATGAGACAGATTCAGCAATAATACATAAATTCGTGCTACAAGTCTGCTTATTATCATCGGTATTTCCAATACAGATTCGCGTCGTTACAAAACCATAAATCGATGCTGCATAATAATATGCATGTTGCATGGTTAAGATGAGTAAAGAAGGTAATTCATACAAAAATGCATACAAAATTGCCTCGTTATTGCTAGTGCAAGGTATACTTTATTAATTAATAAACACCCTCTAATATGTACATATAATGAGAAAATATTTATCGCAATAATAATTCTTGATGCTTTAAGTTTCTAAAAATGAGTGGTAAAATCATTAATATAAGGCAAGTACGTGTGGGACTATTGAGATTTAATAAAAAGTCACCTTATTGGTGCCAATGTGGTAATACATAGTGTTATAAAAATCATAGTTGGTAAAAAAGGTAGAATTTCTATTATACTTAATTGTCTATATACTATTTAGGTTGTGGTAATATAGATTTTTTATTTGAACCCGGCTTGTATCTGATCCAGCGTCATGCCCTTCGTTTCCGGCACAAATAGAAAACAGAACACAGTTCCAAGGATGGAAATTATTGCAAACATCCAATAGCACCCATATGGAGCCAAATTACACACAAAGTCTTCATAACTTTTTGTAACCAAGAATGCCATGAGCCAAGAAAAAGCAGTTGCGATTCCTGCACCAAATCCTTTCACGTGACTTGGTAGTAATTCACCTAAAATGTTGCAATCAAAATTAAACAATGAATCTGAAATAAATTGCCAAAGAATTCACCTAAGTACAGCCATGGGACAGGTCCATAACCGAAATTGAAGGATAGGACAAATAACATCAATGACGCCAATGGCATCCACGTATATCCTTCTGGAGTTGATTCACTCTGTAATTCTGCCCCCGTCTCATTGAACGAGTTGCAATAATCAATTCGTTCTCCGAGAGCAATTGCATTTTGCTCTTTAATGTAAAAGTAAATTCCGATTCCTAAAAGTCCTATGGCCATCCCAGAATCCGATATAATCAACAAAATTCTTCTACCGGCTTTATCGATGAGAAAAGCAGATATTGTGATCGAGATGAGCAGAACAATTCCCACGATTATAGAGGAAAGATTGGGATCTATCGTGGTTCCCGCAGAGGCGAAAATTTTGACGTTGTAGAAAACGACTGCATTGATCCCTAAATACGAAAAAAATGCAAAATAAATTATTCAAGTATTTAAATATGTACGTGGTTCGATTGCGGTGAACGTCAAATGTTTCGAACCTGACCTGACAACAAATTCACAAAACATGTATAAGCTTTTATAATTTTAAAGTTGTTTATGATTCGAACCTACATTTGCTGGAAGAACATCAAAGCGAGACATATTACATTCGGTTTAATTACGGATGGAGAAAAGAATTCTTTTGCAGACAATTTCCGGTCCTTTTTTTCGTCAATTCCCCTTCGGAACTAAAAGATTAAAAATTATTTTAAAAATGTAGTTCTATATAAACAAGTTCTTTGCACATATTTATACAGAACCTGATCCAGTCACTTACCTGCTGCAATTCTGGCTCAATGTGATCCGATGAAATTGCACCTCGGAACCATTTTAGAGCTTTGCGTGCTTTCTCTATGCGTCCTTTGGACAAGAGGAATACTGGAGATTCGGGAAGGAAGTAGACGAAGCAGAACATGGTCACAGGCACAACCGCGTTTGCAAGTGTCAACCAAAACCAGTTCATGACTGATCCGAATATATACCTGAAAAGTATATATGTAAATAATAATAAGTCAAGTGACTGCGATGGTCATAAATATCTATTCAGTTATGACATTATGATAAGTATTTAACTCGTACGTGTTTAAAATTCCTAGTCCAGCCATAAGTGGAAACAAATTAGACAGACCTCCACGAATTTTCTCTTCCGTAATTTCCGCCAGATACATTGGGATCACAACGGACATTGTCCCCACGCACAGACCTTCATGATAATCAATAAATGAAATTCGTATTAAAAATGCAAGTGCATGTACTATAGATTCATTATTTGAATCTGTATGTACCTGTAACAAATCTGGCACAAATCACGACAAACATTGAAGGTGCGAAGGCAATTGAAAGCCATCCCAACACAAACGGGACGGACATGATCAACGTCGTCAACCGACGCCCCAGTCGGTCGACCATATACCCTGCACCGGGACCGGCGACTAATGCTCCCAACTGCAATGTAACATTGTCATATTTATGTATGTATTTTTTATGTATTCAATAAATTGCCGGGTTCTTGTTACAGGCATCTCAAACAAACTTGCTTACCGGAACAATAGATGCACACCATGTTATCTCAGAATCGGATAGGTCACCAAAATGCTGAGAATCTTTCAAAGCCGGTAAAGCAGGTGCTGACCACGCACAGACGGTTCCAATCGCGTACGCCCCGATGGTAACTGGATGATATTAATATAATCAATATTGTGCGAAATATATGAAAACTAAATGATTCATTGTAATTAAAATTACTTGCAAATGCAGCCAAAATTTGAGGTTTCTTGGATGCGATGAATTGCTCTCTCTCCAATTCTTCAACAGTCCCCATTGTACGAAATATGTATCACGTTTTCGCTTGCTAAAACTTAAAACTATTCCACCTCCAGGAATATTAAGAGTAAAACGTATAGAATTTTGCCCAGGTTTTACCAGTTACACTATTAATACTACTTGGTAAAGGCGTAGTTAAGGCGAACTGATCATCTATGAGAAGCTCAACATCATCTGTTCTAAAGGTATCGCATTGTTGCAAAGATAGACACCATGATCCTTCCAGCAAAAAAATTACTGCTGAAGCTAAAAATCGTACAAAGCAATAGTAACCTCGGCTTTAAAAGCCATGTCATGAACCAGTTATGCTTAACCAGAAATGCTACGGTCGGTCGATTTGTTATGCAAACCATTGCGTAGATACATACAAACGCCAACACGGATTTCACCTTCACTCAAATTCTGCCTACCTCTTCCTTGCTGGATAGAATTTAATTTGCCCACGGGCATCATACTTTAAAAATGCTAATCCTGGAAATGGCAATGAGAACCAAACTTTGCATACACTAATTCAACCAACACAATGCAATTTTTTAAGCACCAAATATGTAAACAGTATATGTACATGCATATACACAAATATACTTGTGTACCATAAACAGACAAAAACTAAGGCATAGTGTGTACCTCGATATGGGCGCAGGCAGTGTAACGTGAACGCTACGCAATGTATGATAATGATCAAGAGCTGTCAATTTGTATTTGTCACAATCACATTCGACGAGAGAATTGATTCAAAGGACACTAGTGTATTTTTTCAAGTATTTATTATTGGAATGTATTTCATGATGAGTTACTGTTACAAGTAAATAAATAAATATGGCATCAATAAATAAATGAATGTATCGTAGTTTCGTAGTAGATATGTTTTTAAATTTCTTAATTAGGCTGGTGGACATATATGTACATAAAATATAAAATCTGTTTATAACAAAAATTTAGGTTGTTAATAAAGCTAGATATAGCGCGATTTAAAAATACCATTTACATGCTTCAAATGTAAAATTGATGTTTATCAATGGTTATGATTTAGAACAATCGCTGTATCTCATCAAGGCTTAGTCCTTTTGTTTCTGGAAGTATGAGAGCAGAGAAGAGTGCTCCACACACGCTAAATATCCCAAATATCCCGAATACGAAATGATCACCAATCAGATTTCGTAGATCTGCGAATGTATATGTCACAATGAATGCAAGGAACCAACAGGTACTCGTCACCAGGGCTGACCCCAATCCTGCATGAGAATAAAAATACAGTCAGCAAACACACCTCTTAAAATATTATGTCCATTCGACATGTAGCAAAAAAAAACAATAAGTATGTAATATTATATTTGCCTTTAATATTGCTTGGAAGAAGTTCAGCCATAAAAGTCCACGGAAGTGATGCACATCTGTAATTGAGATTGAAACGAGTCAGTCAGAATAAACATGTCGAAAATGAAGGATTGAAAAGTCTAATAATTTTATGTACGAATTGAATAAAAACTGACAACTAAGCACATCTGTAAAAGGACAGTTAAGTCAAATTCATTTGCATATGTAGCTATGTAAAAACTCTACATAATCAATCAAAACATTCGGAATATGGTTAGTAAAAAAGTTACCCCAGGTTATAAGTGATGATGTAGAGTATCATGCTGAGCAAGGGGAGCCAACCAAGATTCTCTGGTGTTTGGTCGTGGTTATCATGTTTCAAATAAAAAAATACGCCCAAAGCGGCCAGGCTGACGGCCATTCCCGTTTCCGAAATAAACATTAGGACTTTTCGCCCCATTCTATCAACCAAAAGCGTGGACACAATCACACATACAACTTGGACACTTCCAACAATTATGGAGGCCACGTTGGGGTTGATGTCACTTCCTGACGCCTTGAATATGTCGACCGTGAAGAATATGACTATTTTCAAAGAATATAGTGTTAAGAATCGTATAAAATAAATAGTATAATATAATAATGATATGCCAACCTGCATTTATACCACCTAATTCACAGGAATTATGTTTTTGTTATCAATGATATATTATTATACATAAGATATTTATATACTAAAAAATATTTGATTACCAAATTGTTGGAAAATCATAAGGACTAGACAGATGGCTAGAGGTTTCATATTACGGGCCTTCAAAATATCACACAAAGATCCCCCAGATGCCTCCTTGCTAACCTGCACACTATGTTGAAGCTATTTATAATAATAAAAAGACCATTTAATCATTAACTGTCCACCCTTCATTCAAAGTCGTTTCACTGTTTTCATACCTCTTTTAGCTCATCATCAATGTCTCGCACATCGTCAACTCCACGAAGCCATCTCAAACTTTCAGCTGCCTTGGTTTGCATTCCCTTCACAACTTGATATCTCGGCGAGTCTGGGATAAAGAACATGGCAATCGCCAAAAAGATTGGCAAGATCCCTGAAATTATGGAAAGCCACTTCCATGGGACTAGAGCTCCTAGAACATACCTGTATAAAGTACGGACAAATAAATATCGAAACCAAATAGGGAGAGAAAGCAAGAGTTTTACAAATTACGAGAAAAGAATTCCGGAAACAAGAGTGACCACCATGCAATTACTCATAGCTCCACGGAGTCGGTCCTGCGTTACTTCGGAAATGTAGACTGGAACAACCAACGTGTATGCTCCAGCACAAAATCCTACATTCATTTAGATGACATTTTAAGAAATTCTAGCAGAACTCATAAAGTAACCTTGTGAAAGTTATACCGGTAATGAAACGCCCGACCAACATTACTGCATAATCTTGTGCAAATGCAACCAAGCCCCATCCCAGAATAAATGGTATGACTAATAGGATTATGGTGAGTCGTCTTCCGATTTTGTCGATCGAGAATCCAGCAGCAGCACCAGAAATTAAGGCCCCAATCTGAAATTAACAACTCAAATTATTAGTATTATTTAATTAACGTGTTTATCAATTGAATTTACATTATGATGATAATTAATTCATTAATTTTATCCTTTTTGAATATTTGCATACATAATGTACGTACATATTTGCATACATACATAGGTCAATCACATTATGAGCCTAAATAAATTCTAGTTCATTTCAATTTATGCAAGTTGTGCCAATTCATCATAACATGAACATATTTATGTGTGATGTATATAAACACATGTAGATTAGGTAACCAGTTACGTATCCGTCGGCATTGATTGTGTCATAATATGCCATTAATCATTAATAGTGATCCCGTGCATAAGTCATTGTTTATACATTTGAGGTTCAACTTCCGCACCATGTTACATAGCAAAATTATTTAGTTATATAAGCATTTTTCTTAGTGAGGCAAATACCTGACAACGAAAAAAAATTGCTAAGTATGCATTTACCCCACCCAAAAAAAGCGATATAAGTCGATTTCTCGGCCGTTTCTCAACCGATTTTGATGAAATTTTGCACAGATCATTGTTAGGTAATTTAGAAAAGATTTGCTAGTCGACTTGGCGAATTTTTGATGTTTACCCAAGTTATGTGCCAAAATGTGCAAAAATTTTCCCCTGGAAACATATTTATTTTTATGATTCATAAGTGGTGCATCTCAGCATGCTCGCTTATTGAAAATATTTTAGTCAAAGTCATTCCGGACATTTTAAGCGCAAAATGACTTAAATCGGTTGAGAAATAACGGCGTTATTCAAGTTTGAAAATCAAAAATTTAATGAATATATTTAGGGTGCCGATAATAACGGCGGTTGTGCAGTAAAAATAATGTCTTTGACAACCAATTACAAGTTTTAAATAAACAAGGCCCCAAAAAATGGGAAATCTTAGTGAGTCAGCGCAATCACAGTTAATAAATAAAATTAGATTGAATAATTTTTTCATCACCGCTCTCGGTATAATTTTTCCTAGAAGCATTAATTAATCATTTTGAATAATTGCCCCCCCCCCCAAAGGGTCTGGAGATTTCATCTGAATAGGAATTAATAGGATATCTAAATTTATATATCGAAATTGTAGATTTTCAAATCTTTCTAAATTTAAAATTCGCAGTTCACAATTATATTTCATATCGATTAATTTATTCAACTTCTCGTTCAATAGTAAAAACGTCATCTTGTAATCTCAATTAATTTAATGAATGCAAGAGTTCATGCGTATGCAAAACTAAATTTACAGTGGACCCAGTAAAAATTATCCCGAGAGCGGTGATGCAAAAGTTATTCAATCTAATTTTATTTATTAACTGTGATTGTGCTGACTCACTAAGATTTCCCATTTTTTGGGGCCTTGTTTATATATATACATACATACATAATTACATAAATAATTAAAATTCATGCATTTTTCGTTCATATAACACATACATACGTCGTGAAAAGATTGCATGCTGCAGTTTAATAGAATCATCCGTTTTGTAGACCATGCACATTCCAGAGTGTTCCATATACGTCGTCCCGCAAGGAAATCAATACTTGGGAAATATTCCGAGCAGTTTCGCGGCCCCACGTGCATTTTGCACTGGACTACATACACAGTAACCCCATTTCCGTCAACCAGCACAACCAAATTCGCAATATGCCTCCAACCTACTTAGAAATTTTTAGAAAATTTCTGATAAATTTGTGTATGCAGTAAACTATCCCAATCTATTTAGTTACATATGTACTAATACATGCGTGCATGTACATGATGACTTACTGCTAATGAAACTTACCACAGCTATTGACGCTATTAAAGAGAGATTTGAGTCTGTCAAGTTGCCAATGTCTTTTGTTTCTTTCAGTTGTGGATTAACAGTAGACGTCCACGCTAATACTGTTCCTGAACAGAAGGTCCCAAACGTCGCTTTCGAGCAAGAACAAGGCATAAAAAATTAGGCACGCTGACATACATGTGTTGTGTACCCGCTGAACTTGGCCCAGAATTGTTTTACTTCTATATGTATCTTACCAACGAGTGATGCTATGATCTGCGGTCGGGATTTTCCATGAAATTGGAGCATAGTGTGCTCCGAAGCTTCGGAACTTCTAGGATATAAATCTCGTTCCATTTTAATTTTCGTGTGTATTTATTTATTTAATTAAATGTGTACTGATTTTAGCTATATATTTAAATTATGCAACAAGAACAACAGTTGAGTTGTAAGCTTGCAGGGTATATTGTGTGTTATTAAACGAGATAAGCAACCAGATATCTCTGGGGCAACTTGGAAATTGGCAAACTTTGGCTTTATCACAATCGTTGCAAAATCAACCTGGGAGTTGAACCACACTGTGCAGTTCTCCGAGACGGAATGACTTGTCTCACCCGGATTGACTTTCTTTTCGTCGCAAATTTTGCAGGATGGCAAGGAGTGCACTCGTTCGCGAATCGAGCGTCTGGTGCAGTCCGAGAGCTGTAGTTGTAATTTCGCAATAGGTACATACTTACGACGAGTTCTTTTATGGCGTGGTGGATTCAGTATGTATAAATCCAAACACGAAAGAATGGATAACTTGGCTAAAATGATCATATTTTGGTATTTTCGCAATTCTCTCAACCACAGTCCTCCTCCGCCATGGTCACTGCATTGTACGTACATACTCCCCCAGAAGTATTAAAATATATAGTTCGTTTCTGCATTCAACTCTTATGCTCTTCACCTGCTGCGCGAATGCTGCCAACGATTTCGTGCCTTTTGTTGACCTTTGCTGTGTATGCATGCAGTGTATTAAGTAACATTGACATGCAATGAAATGTTTTTCAATTAAATGTGGAACAACTAGGTTTACTCAGTTCTGATAAAAATGTAGAGTGAGTGGCATTGTTCTCTCATTTAGTCCCATATCCATCCAAGAATACGTTCTCAAATAGTATGGATGACTCTTGATTACTTTTTCGTTGTTACCGTTTTCCGTGTTTTGAATGAATCAGAGGGTAAAATTAAGATGAGTAAATAAGGTGACGAAGGTCACAGTCGGTTCGACCTACAACAAACTTAACGACGTAAAAACAGTACTAGACGCACGAGTTCGTCGGTCCGGGAAGCAGCAGACTCATACACAAAGACTTTGAACTGCCATAAACCAATTCTGAAATACGATATTAAGTATATGCATCTATCTACTTCTGGTTCGGTTGGGATTTGCGTTTCCTGTTCATCATACTGGACGTTAGACATAGTTTATGTTTTCCAGAGAAATTGTGGATGCGGATGATATGTCGAGCTTTCAACAAGCGTTATGCTGATGAGAAGAATGGAACCATCGCGTTCATTTCATGTCTCACGTTGGGAAATGGAGCAGTCGCAGATGACCTCATTTGTAACAAATAATAAGGCAGAGTGTTAAAATTAATTATAAAGGAAAATATGTCAAAATGACGAAAAACAGTTGAATCCGGATCGAGAGTGGAATTTTCCATTGATATCATTACATTAAACTGCAATGGATATGCAAAGGTGGTGATAAAGGTGAGGTGAGCCACAAACAGGTAGGAATCGAAGGCGAATTAACAAGAGAGAATTAAGGTTCGCACATATTATTGTTTTCGGAAAAAATAGATTTGTCACACAACATATTGTTGTTTGGTACCACAAGGACTATAGTCCAACCATAATAACAAAATTATTTGCAATATGTTCGCCAATATTTTTGGCAGGCTTGAGACTGCACACACACAAGACAGTTAGTGTGAGACAGGCTCTGAAACATAATATGATGCAGAAAAGCTGTATTTTGTTGCAAAAACAGTATGTGGATTTATTTTTCTGCCTCTTGTAATGATTAATGGCATTTTGAGTATAACAGTCTATATGCGTTAGCTTAATTTGTTTTACAGAATTGGCTAGGAAATCTACCACACAAATCTGCATGTACATGTACCTAAATAAGATAAGAAGTATTAATATTGTGCATTGATGTACATACATACGTAGACAAAAAGTCCAACTCGGCGATGAAATCGTGTTTGTCTAAATCTCTTAAATATTATCACAAATGTTGGCATAGGTTTTGTTTCTAGAACCGAACCATTCAAAAAACCAGAAATATCTAGATCTGTAGCCATGTATGTCTTGGAAAGTTTTGAGTGTCCAGTGACAAAGGTTTTTGCCTCCTGACGTAATGATGAATCCGCAATGCAATAAATTAAGCATGCTAAAAATTGTAGATACATTAATGAAATCATCAGTTACGGAATTAATTTCAAACTTTTAATCAAGTTTATAAAAATAACAAAGGTGATGTTTAGTAATAATAAATTGACATATGATGACAATTGTAGTAACAAAAAAGATAATAATTATGTAATACTTGAATATGATAGCACATATGCTTAATGAATAGTTTACCGACTGTTTTTCTGAATTTCACATTTTGACATAGCAATCAAAATTAATATCAGCCGGTTTTATGGCTTAATATGGCTTGGACTTTTATGGAGTGTTTCCCACATACAACGTAGAAGATTGTTCATATCCTATACCCATAAACACAAAATTAAATAATCTGCTATCGGTTTGCAAAATTAAATTAAAAGAATAAAAAGTTATACCAGAGCTTGGGGTGGACATTAAGTTTCCTGATACCAATTTCGGCCATTGTCCAATTCCTGATATTTGTTGAAAACCAAGTTTCTGATCTTCCGCGGAGAGAATTTCTGCAACGATTCTTACAACACTTTCTTCTTCCTAAATTATATGATATGATAATTATGTTAATAATTAACATGACTGTTTGCTAAATTATATCTACGTATCTTACCACTGTGTATGCGAGCGATGGAAATTGTAGCCGCTTAATTACAAGTTCATTCAAACGTTTTTTCAGGTACAAAATAGCAGTAACAACATTTTCAGTTCCACAAAATGTTATCCAGTTGTTGAGATCAAAGCGTTTCATAATCACCCTGTTAGAAGCACCAGCTTCAAGAAGATCACCATCGTCGTATTGTTCATCGTCTTGAAAAATTGTCAAGCAGAAAATTTTTGCAAAAAATTGAATAAAATTACAATGGCATATTCAACTTTTATGATAACGAAATATCAATATATTTATATATATATATAAGAATACCGGTTGCAACGGGCTGGGTTGAAAAATTCCCACCAAATAATACAAGGGGTACATCGCCGACAAGGGTACAAGTTCGAATTGATTTTGAAAAATCTTGTTGAGATATTTCGTCATAAATGACCCAATCACCAGGAAGGTTAGCAATGGCATCTTTTCTAGTCGTTCCGAGAACAGACGCATTGTGGTACCTAATTTTTGTGTCATATCTGTGGACAACGAGATGTGATATAATACTAGTTGTATTTTTTTGCTTGTAAAACCACGAATTAAAAAAGTATGTATTACTCGTTAAACAAAGTCTTATTTCTCTTATCCATGTAGCAGATATTCGGGTAAAGTATTCCAGTAAGAATTCCCTTCACAAGTGGCCAATTTTCAGAATTGGTATTGAGATCTTTCAAATCATTGGCTCCACAGTTCTGCACGAAGCCAGCCGCTCGCAATTGTCCAAGTAACTGGGATCGGATACCATATATCATCTCGAAACATGCAGCGGACAAGTAACGGTCACGGCAAAACGATCTCTGCACATTGTCATTGAACAATGTGGATTTTTCCCAGTCCTAAATAGTAAAAATGAAAATCATAATCATATACACTTATTTTCCTTATAATTGTATTAAAATCAATTTAACCTGAAACGCTTTCAAGGACGACATGTGATCGCTAAGCGAGCCAGCCGAGAATTCAAATTTTGATCCAATCGCTTTCTTTTTCTCATCGGGATTCAGTGGCAATTGAAATGGTTCACTATATAAACGACAATAAACATTTCATAAAAAATCAATGTTGCTTGTGAATGGCTAGGATGATGCGTAATAGAGGAGCTCGAGATAAATAGGACCGCACATAAATCTTACCGATGTGACATGATGGTAATGATTGTCAGAATAGGATCAATGCATTTTAAAGCCACTGCATACATCAAGGCTTTGCCCAAATAAGGTTCAATAGGAAAGTCCAATAGGGAAAATCCGAGTTTTGTCAATTGTTCATTTTCGTCGAGAGCTCCCATCGCTATCAACGACTCAATAGATTTTTTCACAGCGATTGGTGCTGGTGGTTCAGGTAGTCTCGTGAAAAAATCTTGAATCTTCAAGCTGGTCCGAATGAAAGACCTGTAATACAAAATTGGAACGTGAAAGTCTAGGCTACACCCAATGGAAAAATTAAAAGCACAAGATAGTCATAGCCTAAAATTCTAACCTAGTGTAGATGCACATCTCTTGAAGAGATGATCGAACAATTTCAGCCTCAGGATAGTCATTCATACTTTGGTATCGAGTGCTCGAGTATAAGCGGATGCACAACCCTGCATACAAACAAATGTGTTGTGAATAGTATTATGTATTAATAACAGTTCAGTAATTCATAATTAAATAATATCAAAGTATTTATTTAAAAATATTTTTGCTTATACCAGGTTGACACCTTCCAGCTCGACCTGCCCTTTGATTAGCAGACGCCTTAGAGATCCATTGAGATCTGAGTTGAGTCACGCCAGTCATCGCGTCGAACGTTTTTTCTTTTCCTTTTCCAGAATCAATCACGTAAATGATATCTCCAATTGTCAAACTTGTTTCTGCAATATTTGTCGACAATACAATTTTCCTCTTTCCAGGTTTGGGGGGTTCAAATACGGCACGTTGATCGCCAGTTTGAATGTTGGAATGCAGTAAGAATACAACAAAATCATGCGAGAAATTTCCCAAATTGTGATCCGTGAAAATCATTTGTTTCAAAGTGACGATTTCTTCATAACCCGGAAGAAAAATGAGGACGGCATCCTTAGGTGCACTGTTTTGGTTAATATAGTAGAGAAGATCCACAATAAGCTGCAAATCCACTCGTTCATCGCTGTGACTAATTTGATATCTGTCCAGTCTTTCTTGAACACTTGGTTCTAGCTCAATCGAGTTTGTCGTAGCTATAATTGCTAGAGTAAATTCATATTGAGTAATTATCTGAACAACTTCCATCTGTCCGTGATCCGATGCCCAATCCTTGGCAGTATAAGAACGACCATCTTCAAGAATCATTGATAGTTTGGGGTCTGCACCTCTTGATAATAACTTTTCAACACAGTCCAGACGCCCTTGAACTGAATAAGCCATCAGCATCGTAGTGTTGGTAATACTGTGTCGGTAATCAATGGATAATACTTGACTATTGTCGACCAGATTCAAAAAATTTTCTACGGACAAATTATCCTTATCCCCACCAATCCAGACTTTCATTATTTTGGAATCCAACTCGTTCTTTATGGCCTCTAAATCCACTTCATTTTCTTCAGCGTTGAAAGGCATGAATTCGTTTGTAGGAGGATTGTCAAAAAAGTTGGTATTGCCCAAGGATACGGCGCTTCCGCTACCAAAATCGTTAGCTTCTCTTCTCGTCGTTGGATATTTCAGAGTATTGACAAGATTATCTACAATCGAATTTCGATTTCTTGAGCTTATAGGTCGTTGTTGTTCTCGTTGACGCTTTTTATCATTTTCCTTCTGTAACAAGGTCAAAACATCCTCCAAGTAATGTAGCTTGACCGGGTACAGACGTCCATGTACTTGAATCAGTGGACATTGTGTCTCTCCTCCAAAGTAGGAAACCAACAAGTTTGTATTCATATCAGCACCCATTAGAATTATCTTGAGGTTTGGAAACTGTTTTCCTACGTCACGTAAACATGCCAGTAGAAACTCCGTTTGACGATCACGCTCATGAACTTCATCAATGATAATGTGGGTTGTGGTCCTCAAAACGCTGTATTCAAATGAAGTTAAGGACCTCAGGAGAATTCCACTGGTGCAGTATGTAAGAATCGTTTCACAGGGTGAAATTTTGCTCTCCAATCGAATTTGAAATCCAACAGTTTTTCCAACGCGCTCACCGCGTTCTGTTGCAACTCTATCACTGATAGTTACAGCCGCAATTCTTCTTGGTACTGTGCAAACTATTCGTACTTTTTCTCGTCGGGCCATTGCGTCATCAAGAATGAATTGGGGTACCTGTGGCAATTATGAAAGAATGAGAATTAAACCCCCAGAATAAAAATATTTAGTTTACTCAAGAAATGCGCATGTAGTACTTGTGTAGTTTTGCCGCAACCAGTGTCTCCTTTGATAAAAATGACATTGTGTTGGCGAATAGCTTGAAGAATTTTGCCCTGAAAGTTCCAAATTGGCAATTCTCTCCTACTATGTTCAAATTGATAATGCAAGCGTCGTTTTGGAATTTTTGGAGGAGGAGCAGTAAACAGACGATTGGTAAATCCACTCCTTTCGGTTGAACGGTGATAATTTCTGCGAGTACTGTCATCCAATGTATTGCTAACTAAAAATTATTCAAGTTCTCGTAAATAATTTAATTGAGCATGACAAATCTATTAAAATAGAAAACATACTATTCTGAAAAACTTCCACCGGTGGAAGATCGTATCCAAAGCTTGACGGTTCCAGCATGTGGATCAAAGTAATTGACATCATGTCCAATTCCAAAGTTTTTATGACCTTGTTGTTCTTCATTGATTTGCTAAGCGTAAGTTTTCTTGTTTCACCGGCTCTAAAAAAGCACAAGTAATTATAGAACCTATATATATGCATATCAAAAACAAGGACAGGACGTACCCAAAACTCTGGGAGTTTATTCCAAACTGTCCAGCTTTTGAATGAATATATGCACGTTCATGACTTGACAGAGTATTTGGAAACGTTAAATCTATTTAAAAAAGTGCATCCAATAACTTTAAATACTGTAGTCACCTTCTGTGCAGCAAATGGTACCACTGATAGTAATGACAAGATGTATATGATACATAATTTCATACCTCGGATACCAAAGTTATTACGAAACCGGTCAATCACTGTGTCCAACTTGATTTTCTCTGCCTCCGGAACCTTATCGCTGATAGCTTGGAGGCGCCGCATATTACCTTTCTTCTTATTGTCCTCCATCGTTCCTTATCTGCGGAAAAAGACGCCCTAAACAAGACTAACAATTAGAAATCGAATTGACCATTCGACTCTTTGACTCGTGCACAAATCAAGCAATTGTATCCTTCTTAAGAGTTGAATTGAATAGAATTCGAATGCGTCGTTAGGATGAAGTTCAGCCAAGATACACAATTCTCACTAGTGGTGCTTATTCTGCATATGTAGGGACTAAGGGAGTAAAGAATGGTCGGCTGGATGGAAGGAAAGTCGTCGTTCAACAAAGTTCATCCAGCCAGCCCAGACGAATAGAAAATATGACCATGGCCTCGCTCATCACGTCTGGCTCTCTTTTCTTTCTCACCTAATCTATTGTCTAATTTTGATACTTTAATTTTAATTTGTAATTGCCAGCTCGCAACTTTTTTCTCATTCTTGGTTCAATTGGCTTTTCAAAAATTCAATGAGTTTCCTTCTCATCTTCCTCACTTAATTCACTCATTACCGCAATTTTAAAACCACTATTTATAAAACCTATTGAACTATCGTTGGAGTTTCTAGAATATATGACAGAAACGTTTCGTATTGAAATTGAATCGAGTGCAAACTAACAATAAGTGAATGAGATGGAAGGAATGAGCTTTTGATGCTTCGTGTCCTGGAGTCGTGTAAATAGTAATGTAATGCAATGTAATGCAAGTTAAAATAGTTATACAAGCTAAAATAGCATGCCAATTTTTAGATGAATAGTATGAAGGAGAGTAGTGCAAAGTCTAAAAAGTAGTCAGTCTATCTTTACCTGAAATTGGTGCACCCCCTTCGAAAAGCTTGAAAACTTGGACGAACCCAGTCACCGGTAGTATTGACGAAGAAAGACGGTTGACTCTAGTCCATCGGGTGAATGAAAGTCGGGCAGTGCGTGACCGTGCCAGCCAGGTCGTTGGAGAGAAGAAAAGTCAGCTCCTTCCCTCGTGCAAGTGCTATGCGAGACTGGCAGAGGACGAGTGTGCAACTGGTTCTAACGTGCTGCGTGGGTTTCGCGGACAGGAGGGAAAAAGTGTGGCGACAGTCTCACCTCTCACTGCAAAAAGCGTCTGTAGCAGTATCACGTAGGTATGGTATAAATATGGGATTAGGAATATAAAATAAATATACTTGCCAATAAAGTGAACAATTAAAATTTTGCTGGTACTCATTTTATTGCGTTTACATTAATTATTTAAAGGTTTACTTGTGTTGTCCGAGCGCAATTACCAATTAGGGACCCTAATGAAGATTGGCTTTTGTTTTTTTTACTGGCAAAAATTATCTAGAACTTTCAGCAATGCAATTCGCTAAGATAAACTTTGCTAACGCTACACAAATAATCTTATGTATATATTAATGCTACCAATACAATTCATATTTTCAACCTGTACGACCATAGGTGCAATTTGTATGTGCTGCCAGGCCAGCAAAGTGCTGGAGAAATGTTTCTATATTAAAGGAATGAAGGAAAATTTCGTAGAAGATAGTCCTAAAAATTGTCAGTTTAATATATGCAATAACGAGTAACAGCAATAAAAATTAAATTAATTAATGCAATGAACGTTATCGACTTTTCTTTCAAATGTATGTATTTCCATGAAATGGTATGTTTTCATATGTAGGACATGTATAAACATCTCTCTAAATGTAATATATAGTTACTTATGCTAAAGGTTTTAGACATATATATCCATCATATCATACATAGACCATATATATCCATCTCATTGTGAATAAAAAATCATGCAAAATGAAATTAAAAGTTGACAAAGATACGACCAGTTTCAAGTCTGGGTTTTTGATTGTAGCGAATTTGCGCATATCCGTCGATCCGAACCCGAACACGAGACAAGGATGGCGAATTTACTCCGGTTTGGCGATAGTCAAGAACCGACCATATGACGTCCATGATGATCATTGTTTGCATACGTTATCCATAGTCAACTAATACACATGCATCCATTTAGTCACTGAAATAATAAGGTGAATCTGTTGTAATTAGATCAGTGCCACATAACCTGTGATAATGTTATCAAATCATGTCTGATTGGCATGCCAATTCTGGTTCCACATACATTTTCGAGAGTTATACTTCGGTTTTAATTATTAAAAAAATATTAGCATTTATGCATGCACATGTGAAGACTGAAGTAACCATTCTGGATTTAATCAACAATTAGTTCTATTGGTCTACAAGTAGTTATCTGAAAACCAAAGTGAAAACATCTATCAGAAAAATGCCAAGAATTTTAGTAACCGGAGGAGCAGGATATGTTGGGTCGCATACTGTGATAGAACTGATAAATTACAAATTTGAAGTAGTTGCAGTGGACAACATGGTCAACGCTATCATGGGTAAAATACATACATATGTATAACACTAATTAGCATTTACAGTATTTCGCTGCTACCGGCAAGTATTTTCAGACTGTTAACTTTTATGCAGGTGGAAAAGGGAAACCAGAAAGTCTTGCGAGAGTTGAGAAATTGACAGGGGGTGTGGTCGACTTTGAACAAGTTGACATTCTCAATGAAAATGAGCTGGAACAAGTTTTTGCAAATAAGGGTCCATTTGATTGTGTCATCCATTTTGCTGCACTGAAAGCAGTTGGAGAGTCCTGTAAATTGCCTCTGCGATATTACAGGAATAATGTAATCGGCAGCATAAATTTGTTGGAAGTGAGTTGTGACACTTAAATTTGTGTGAACATTTGTTACGCAATTCAATAGAAGTATTATGGTTTATGCAGGCAATGTCCAGGCATAATTGTAAAAATATTGTATTTTCATCATCCGCCACTGTCTACGGTCCACCACAATATTTACCAATTGACGAGAAACATCCCATCGGAAGTTGCACTAATCCTTATGGGAAGACCAAGTTCATGATTGAGGAAATAATGCATGACATGTGCCTTGCTGACCCAGTAAGTGCGTGGTGACTGATTCATGCAAAACAAGCTTTTTTATCCTTTTCAATTTCTTAAGGAATGGAAAGCTATAATGCTGAGGTATTTCAATCCTGTTGGGTCGCATCCTTCTGGAGAGATAGGTGAAGATCCTTGTGGCATTCCGAATAATTTAATGCCATATATTTCACAAGTCGCAGTAGGAAAGCGGCCATGCTTGCAAGTTTATGGAAACGATTATGAAACCAAGGATGGAACTGGTATATATTTACTAATTTACTCGTGTCACAAGCAAAAATTTATCGTTATATACTATAAATAATAATTTTAGGGGTGAGGGATTATATTCATGTAATGGACTTGGCGGAAGGTCATGTTGCTGCAGTTCGGAAAAGTTTGGATAAAGACTTCCAGGGATGGACGGCATATAACTTGGGAACGGGACAAGGAAATTCTGTTTTGGAGGTGGTGTCCGCGTATGAGAAAGCATCAGAGAAAAATGTTCCTTATGAATTCATGCCAAGACGGGGAGGCGATATTGCTTCTTCTTTTGCTGATTGTTCTCGGGCTGAAAAGGAATTGAACTGGAAAGCTAAAAAATCAATTCACGATATGTGTACGATTGTGGTTTTATCCTTAGTAAAGCTCTTTAGTAACAATGATTCATAATGTTTTAATTATGCAGGTGCTGATGCATGGCGGTGGCAATCAAATAATCCTAATGGCTTCCAGATACCATAGTGTTTGAGATGATCCATTTGACAAAATCCCACTGCGTGCCTTATTCTTTCTAGCTAGAAGTAAATACCTTCATGTATTTTGTAACACGGATTTTAAACATGTTTCAAAACATATTTTATTTCAATCTTATAAGTATACACCTCTTGTTGTATAGAGCTCCATGGTATACATTTATAATGGGCCAATATACAATGACCATACCAATTTGTACTACTGTTAATAAAATCTATTTGCTAAACTATTCAAAATTCTCAAGCGACTAGACATTTGAAAACTTGACGACAACAAACATGCATTTCTTTGAAACTGTAAGCCTTATTCAATTGACAGATATGTACATAGTTAGGTTTGAAGGCCGACATTATGAAAAAAATGAAATGCAAGGGTAAAAGTTTATTAAATGTTTTGTCAGTTTAGAACCTAGATACAGAGAAATAACGCTGCGATTGTCACTTTAGGCAAGACGGATGAGTTGATTTACAAAACCACATATTCATGACACGTACTACATTATTGGTAAACTACAAACAAGCTTAAAGGCAATCTCGACTTGCCTTTAAAAAGTGACTTGAATATTTTTGAGATCGGTACGGTATATCCGTATATCGGTATGTGGGTACAAGTTGAGTTTGTGACAAGAACAATATAATATCTTCATTTCACAACCATAGTTAAATAGATTGGTAATTTCATTTAACAACCTAATCCTGTGATTTCATCTCCACTGCATAATTTCAAAGTTTCTCTTCCCCGGACCAAGGGTCATCTAGGGGGACCTCCACCATTTCCCCCTTGCTCGCACTCACTCTGTTTCGACCAGACCCGGCATCGTCATATCCCAAAGTGACCATGTAGTCGTAAATAATTTTGAGCCCATACACTCGAAGTGCACTATGAAGAAAAAGGTTGATCAAGGTTTTCAAACTTATGCCATAAATCCCAATGATAAACAAATTGATGTTCAAGATTAGCAATCCAATTTCACAAGCCCACCAAATTCCGACTCTTTGGAGTTGTCTCTGTGAATAAATAATATGAAGAAAACAGCACATATTATTTTATTAAGTAAGAGACACTTGGTTGACTTGAAAGTGTATTACGGGATGAAATTTACCTTGTGGACGGAAATAAGAAGAAAAAAAGCTAGAACCATGGGTGTGATGACAAATCCTATAAAATTCATAATCGTATTATGATTAAAATAATTATAAATTACTACCAGCATAAAATTCTCAAATTTTACCGCAGTATATTAGACCGTATAGAAAGTATTTGCCAAAATCGTAAATATCAAACCAGTAAGAGTAAATTTGATACACTTGGATCACCTGTAAAAAGGATTTTGTACATAAAATTATGAAAAATTGCATTAATTAAACAATGTTATATTTAAAATTCACAAATAACTTACAATATTCACGTACGAATAACCTTTCGCCTGGTTCTCATGATTTGTCAGCCAAGCTGGAATAGGAGGTTTAGGGATGTTTGGAAATTTAGGCATAGTCACACAATAGGCGATTATTTATAATTTCATGTTACACAATCGTGAGCATTACTTAGCTACGTGAGTACATTCTGTTTATGTCTTATCGTATTAATTGGTCGGAATCCATATTCAATGCAGATAAGCACAATGGCTAATAGAATTGTGCATAAATACTTGTGTGTAAACGGTAGACACAATTTCTCAAACTTTCCCAAAGTAAGACTTATTTACAAACGTGAGTAAATCAGTCCACAATGTAGCAAATATCCAGTCTGTACACTCGTAACTAGTCGTAAGTCGTAACACTTTAATCGACATTGACTATCGATTAAAGGTGATTTATGAAGAGCTCTATATTATGTATTAATACTTTTCATCATTATTGTGAATATTATGATTTCAGTCTAAAAGTCCGTTTAAGAGCATGTGTTTTTGTTGTGAAAGTTGTGTAATGTGTGCACTTTATGCAAGCGGAACTGACTACGAGTGGGTCTTTTACTGGACGGACGATGCTCCACTTTTTGTGAAAGAGAGACGAACCAATATGCAAAATGAAATCCCGTTATATCCCTGGACAATAAATCCAGCAACGTATATATGTTTTAGTAAGTAAGATATCCATAATATGTTGTAAGTATATATACATAAATATGCTGGATTTACAAAGAAGATTAAATTTATTTATCTTAAATGCACATTTATGTATTTTCATCTTAAAATGATTTTGAACTATAGAAGTATGATTGAGGAATGATATATTTTATTGTGCTTACATGTATTGATTGTTCTTTATTATTAGATACTTACTTATTACATCCGGAAGGTGAATGTACAACTAACACGCAAAGCTCTAATGGAATATGAGCGTATGTATGTACAACAGAGGTACATAATGCAAAAGAGTAGTTTACTTTTTTTATAAACTAATTTGCTGTCTAAATACACGTCAACAAATTGTTAATGTTTTTTGGTTGTATGTTTGCTAGGCCAAGTTTAGGGCTTTTTTGTATTCCATGACTTCCTTTCCCTCCCAATGGCCAGGACCCTTTAAATTTGACTTGAAGATTTCTAAAACGTTTTTATATAACTCTCTATCATCTACGGTTCTTGGCGTTGTTGCAATTTCTAAATTAGTTTTCAAAATCTCCTCGTTTGGCATGCTCACAAGAGTTGTAGATACAGCAAGATTTTCTGGATGTAGGCCGAATCCTAGCGCCACATCTTCCATCCGTTTACCTTGATTTGTTATGTACGTCTTTGCGACTCCTGCGACACGTTTAACGTCGTCAGATGCTGGGTGCCACTCTGGTGGACCTCGATTCGTGTACAAGCCCATTGATACTGGAGCTGCATTTATAACGCCCACGTTCTTGGACTGCACAAGACATAATGAGAAGATTAGTCAATTATTCATTCACGTTGGAAATATGTACTTTCTCAAACTCTGTACCTCAAAAAATGGCATATAGTCCAATAATGCCGTGTCATGAAAATTCATGCGGCAATAGGATAAAATTGTATCGATTTTTACTGGAGATGATTCGATGGTTTGTTTCATTGTTTCCAAGCTGTAACCTGTGATTCCAATGAATTTTGCCTTTCCAGCTCGAACAACCGACTCCAAGGCAGGAAGTGTCTCGTTAATTATAATTTGTGGGTCTAAACAGAACTCCAGGTCGTGAATCTATATGCATCGGAAATCGGACTATTCATTCCATGCGTATCCGTATTTAAAATCAGCAAAGCATTACCTGAATGACATCCACGTAGCTTAATCCTAGCAAGTTTAAACTATTTTCCACATTTTTCAGTACAGCCCCTCGAGAAAAATCAAAACGATTTTCCCATCCTGGCGTAAAATTCCTGCCGACTTTAGTTCCAATATAGTACACATTACGTGGGATACCATTCAGAGCTTCACCAAGTAATGCTTCAGATTCTCCGTACCATGGGGATGTGTCAATGTAGTTTACTCCACGTTTGATCGAAGTACGAATCGTCTCAATCGACTTTTGGTTAATTTCATCTCTACAAAAAATATATAATTTCTGGACCTAATTTAGGGTAATGTCACAAAATAAATATAATTGTCAATATATGTGTAGAAACTAACCCGTAAAACTTAGCCAGAGAACTACCACCATATGAAATCAAAGACACGTCAAGACCAGTCCTACCCAAAGCCCTGTAAGGCATCCGCGATAAATTTTCGTCAACAGCCCCATGAAAACCAGGGTCAAAGGTTGAAGGGAGAAACGACGAGTCTGAGAAATTAGATTTTTCCATAATATTGATTGTTTTGATTTAATACTTCTACTCGGAATAAATATTTAGCAAGTTTGTCTTTTTGCTTTTCTCGATTGAGTGGGTTTAATCAATTTGTTCACTGTTTTTAGTCCTTGTTGAACAAGTAAATGCAGAGAGAATCAATGGAATGTATGTATCTAATCGACTTCATTATCTTGTCATTAGTATAAAAAATATAAATAAACTTGGCTTCACTCATTTCTATAAGCTCACTCATTATTCATCACCAAAATACCTAGTTTTATTTAAAATTTGCAAAACTCAACAATTTTTATTCAGTATGCCGTACAGTCAGTATGTTTCCACCAATTACTCAAGTCTGCGTACATTAACAAATTAGCATATATTTACCTGTTTCCTGTTTGTTGTCAACTTCAACATGAATTGAATCTTCCAATGCTGTAGCACATATGCATATATGTATCTACATATTATATCTGTATCTTTATTTCATTTATGTGCTAAACAAGTATTATAGACGTTAAGTATTTCCTGACGAGCAACTTGCTAGTACAATTACTCGACACAAATCAACACATTTGGATGTAAATGTTAATTTACGATTAGACGTGGTAAATGGTAATTTGATGATCATTCATTTACACTCTGTCATGCAAACTGGAAGTGTCACCAAGTCATTTTAAAAAGAGTGAATCATGAAAATAATAGTATTCGAAATAATTTTCGGGATTTTCCTGACTATTTTAGAAAGTTGGGTGGCATCTGAATCAACTACAACCACCCCAGTTTCCGATAAATTTCTGCCTGATCATCCTGATTTAAAAGAGTCTGACAAATATTCAGTACCTGTCGCAAAAGGGAGACAGGTCCAATTTGAAAATATCACGGTTTACGAGAGTGCTTACAAGAACGATACGCAAATAATGCTCATAACCATTTACGATATTTTTGGATTCCACCCTCATGTAAAATTTATTGCGGATAAACTTGCAGACCAAGGAGTTTTTGTGGTTATTCCGGATTTATTTCATGGAAATCCTGTTCCCCTTGAGAACTTTCCTCAACCAAGGTTAAATAATTTTTACTAATGTAGAAATATGTGCACTATGATTTAACGTGTAATATCTTGAATAGTTTTATGGAAAGGGCCCAACATTTATTTTCCAAGAATGGATCTTGGGTTGAGAATAAGCCAGATCTACTGAATGTCATTAAGCATTACAAAACAAAGTATGGAATCGCTCGTGTTGGAATGTTCGGATTCTGTTGGGGTGGGAAAATTGCTGTGCTCGCAGCGTCTGATGAAGATTTTAGCGACTCATTAAATGCAATTGGCTTGGTCCATCCATCTAGAGTAACAAATGAGGACGCATTTGATATACGAGTCCCGGCGTTGCTTCTCCCCAGCAAATCTGAACCGGACATGGTACCCTAAAAATACTACATACATAATCCATGAAGAGCATGTCCGTAACTTAACCCGTTGCATTATAGTATATGTTTTGTACATAGCTCCCCTTCCTCAAGACCTTGAATGACAACATCAAAGGGAACAAATCGGACCACCATAGATACGATGCTATGCAGCATGGATTTGCAGGAGCAAGAAGTGATTTCAGTGACATTGAGATTAGAACCAACGTTGAAAATGTAATTTACAGACTTTCAACATTTTTCAAACAAGTTTTAGCATAAAAAGATATCGGCAAGAGAAATAAGATATTTCTGTTTTTCACAAAATTTTCTAAAAATTGTATTATAGCTCTATGCTTAAGTTTTGACTCTTTAAGGTCATTACATAATATCACAACATTTACATATACGCATTGTATATAACACAGGTTGACCTGTATTATAGTATTTATGTAAATACAATAAAACTCTATTCGTGGAATAAACATAAGTTCTTTGGCCTGTCATAATCTATTTTCTCGACTCTTCGGAATCGTCGGTGACAGTAGGTGCTCCGAAAAGTTTTTGTATCTCATCTATGCTTTTTCCTGCAATTACAAAAATAATTTCCATTCCATTTTTGTGCCAACATAAATCAATTACAATTTTTGATTGTGTGCACCTTTCGTTTCTGGAATAATGAGAATGATGAATGCTGTCCCAACCGCACACACGCCAGCAAATCCCCAATAACAAGCAGGCGCACCTACGGCATCAAGCAAGTTTTGGTAAAACTTGGTAACAAGAAAGGCAAGGAACCAATTGAACATTGTAGCCACAGACGCGACCAGCCCTGTTGTTTGATTGAAAAATCGTTGTAAAATATCCGTAATGATTAATATTTCTACCTATCCGCTCACCTTTCACTTTGGGAGGAAGCAATTCTCCAAGCATCATCCATGGAAGAGGGCCGAAACCGATGCTGAAGGCTGAAATCTGTTCATAAAGGACAATTTAATGCATTTGAATTTGGGGGTGCTGTTTTTCGAGACTTACGAAAACCATCAGAGAAACCAATGGCAGCCAACCAATGGTCTTCGCATTCCCATTTTCTTGGAGGTGGAAGAACAATCCCAATGCTACGAGTGCGATACACATTATCAAAGCGGAAGCAGTTAGCAGTATTCTTCTGCCTACGGAGGATGAACGTATAAAAATTAGTAACATAATTTAAACTAAAGACTTAATTATCTTGTAATAAAATAGTTTGTGTAATAGTGTTCAAGCAACAATCCCCACAATCCTTAGTACTCAAAATAGCAGTGGCTGGATGCGTACATACGCACCCAGCCACTCTCACTTTCTCCGTAAATTGACTTGTATTTTTCTACCTAATTTGTCGACGACAAATACAGCAGCCAAAGTCGCTATAATACAAGAATAGTTTTATTTAAATACCAATATTCCATACGTGCGTGCATATTGCTTATATCTCGTTTTGAAGACCTTACCGACAACTTGAATGCCAGCAACAATTATTGATGAAACGTTCCCATCAAGGTCTGATCCAGCCGCTTTGAATATATTTGTGGTGTAAAAAATCACTATTTTTTCGTGAAAAAATAAAACATGTTATATACTTAATGATAATGTTGCATATGTATATGTATATGTTGTTAAAGTATAAAATATAGCTCACCAGCGTTGATTCCTAAGTTAATAAAAACGTAGAGTTAATGAGTGAAAATATTCAGATTTTGTTAGAAATTAGACTAAATGCAATTAATCTCCGCTATACCTGATAGTTGTTGGAAGAGCATTAAAGCCATCATAATCAGAGATGGCCTTAGATTGTGTGGCAGGGCCAAATCGCTAAACTTGGCCTTTTCGGCTTTGGATTCATTTACACTGATTTCAATCTGAAATACATGTGAATTGTTATCGTCGAGACGCTAATAATGTTTGGAGCTGATAAATAACGCACAATTTTCAACTCGTCCTCTACTTCCTGTGAAGATGTCTTTTTTCTAAACCAACACAAAGATTGGCTTGCATCAGCATTCTTCCCCTTCATCAATAGATATCGAGGTGATTCTGGTGAGAAGGAAAACGACGAGTGATGGGTTAATTTTGAGTACTTATAAGGTATCTATTAATTACTTGATGAAATTACCTTGTACGAAAATCATACTGATCAGGAATACCAGCGGAACAAAGCCACAAATTAAGGACAGCCACTGCCAATCCGCAAACGACCCAACGGTATTTCTACATATTATGCATACAGTTGTCAAACAATTATTTCTTAAATTATTAATTATTATGAAGTTATTACACAAAGAGAATTCCTAAAACCACCATTAGTTGGAAGCCCGAACTGCATCAAAGGTAGGAATTATTTCGTACATTACTTAATAATTCAAATCGTCACGTCACACACAAAAAGCATAAAAAATGAAATTCAATTAAATGTACCCTAGTGCTCCTCTTATCGAGTCCTCTGCGGTTTCTCCGATGAAAACTAATGGTTAAAAATAGGTTTTTATCGTTAAAAACCACTTTGCATTGAGTCAACACGAGATCGTTAAATAATATCTCAAAATTTTGAGAGGATAGGTTAAACATCTCAGACTGACGAAACAGATTATGATGCGTAATGAAAAAATAAAATGACCATTTACCTGGAGCTACTAAAGAAAAGCCTCCTCCACAAAACCCTGTCGAAAACATGAGACGCAAATATAATTGCTGAAACGTTGAATATATTATCGACTGTCGTACCAGAAATGAAACGTCCACAAAGCATCATTGCCAAGTTTTGAGCGTAACCAATGAGCAGCCAACCCAGGACAAAGGGCACCGATAATATGAGCATGGTGTTTTTTCTACCGATTCGGTCCATCAGGACGCCACAAACAGGTGCAGAAAATAGAGCTCCTAGCTGTAAATATGCAATGCTTAAGTCGTTATTAGCTCACGTGTCTATCAATTTAAAATATATTTATTATTCAGTACCGTCAAAATTGCTCCAACCCATGATTGAGACTCCTTTGAAATTTCTTTAAATTCCTCGGATTCTTTTTGCATGCTGAATATCATGAAAATTTTAAAATATTAAAAATTTATACTAACTCAATCGTTTATATTTCCTGACCTTTCCAATGCAGGAGAGGTCCAAGCTAACACGGTTAATTGTTATAATTATACAGTTATAATACAGTTATAATTAATACATAATGCATAATTAATATTATACCTAACACGGTTCCCAACCCGAAAGCCCCGACGGTTGCTGCAAAAAAAGAATAATGCATTTCATAAACTTTGCAGAAATAATTTTCCAATGAGACAAAAGATTCCCTCGTATCGTACATAACATGAAACTGGTAAAAGAAAAATTACAATTACAGGCATAAAACAATGATAGTCTTGCTACAAAGTGTAATAATTTTGCATATGTTAAAAGGTGGTAACAATTACGAAGGTTGTAACTTACCAGAAGCAGCTGCAAAAATTTGGTTGCTCTTTTCCATGACCAATGTCCAAAGTCAAAACAGGGTTTATGAAACGACGGTCCGTCAAATATTTCTTGGAATGCTGTAATTACATCAGATCTATTTATAGATTGGGCATAATTTTTCTCGGAACTGTTTTACGATTGGAATTGAATTATATCAGGGAGATTCGATACAAAATTGACAGGAAACCCATACACTTTGATATTTGATTTAAAACAAATCGGTATTTTGTGGTAGTATGTATGTGCATATGTGAGAAGAAGTTTCAGTGTAAAACTACTTATAATCTCTCGCAAATACATGTGTCTGCACATACATAAAGCCTTGCATGAAAATAATCTTACGAGATCAGTGAAGTTATGACAATCGAATTCCTTCAATCAATCATTTTATAAATTACATAATCATGAATTTGCACGACATTAAAATTTTCCTATCAGCAATTAAGCCAAGACTTGAAAGCGTGGACAAGAAAAATGTGATTTTACATGTTATGAGATAATTAATGTAAAACTAGTTTCCATATTCCAATGAATTACTTACCAGACCAACTTAATGTTGAGGACCAATCAGTTTGAGATCAATAAATTAACTACGGTGGAATCCAGTGAGATACTTAACTTTCTATTCATTCTTATGCGATATCAAAGAGACATGTACGTATGTATGTAGCGGACTTGAAAGAGGTCGGAGCGATCATGCACCAACATACAACTTTTGTTGAATTGGTTCAAGTCATTACATTTCTAATTACGCCGGACTTATCATCATCACCTTTATCATCATTATGAGATGCTGTCACGAACGAAATATTGATATTATGTGGCTACGAAATGCAACGTAAATTCAAAGCAACCTTTTCGTGTATATGCAAGTATATTTATTTGCATTCATGTTTGCACTTTATCAGTCTTCACGGTCTCAATCTATTGGTGGAGACGAATGATGCGACCTCCATGTTTCTATTTCCGTGCTAATGAATATTTTATGTTTTCTAGAGCAAATCAATCACTCAATAAAACAATTAAACCTCCACATAGAACTTGACTCATTAATTCGTTTTGTCTACAAATGATATACTTATGTCTTTTATGACAGATATTTCTTACGAAACCTTCAATTATGCTCAATAAAACAAAACCCAATGGCAGGTCATTGTTCGTCATTCAAATGTCCAGGCAGATACATGCATACATTCAGACTTACATAAATACGTATGGATGTATCATGATTAACGAATTTTTAGGAATTTCTAGTTTCTACGCTGAAATTAATTATGTAATTCACATACATTTTTACACTATGAGTAGTGATATTGAATTTTTTTGACAAATGTACGTTAAAATTTATGTCCACTGCTTTATTGCATTGCATACTCGTGACCTGTGCATGTATGTATGCATACATGCGGCAGATTTGCAAACCATCTGTACTAAATACATGTAAATGATAAACCTGTGACCTGCTAAATATTTACGACAGTCGTTAATACTCGCTCAAGTTCATGGGCGTAATGTGCTACAATATGCGCATTTTTTGTCTATGTGCACTTTCAAGATCTGGATCAAATCAGTGACATCAATGACGATAATTGAATATCAATCATCCATGATGTCATTGTCACCAACCACATCGTAATGAATTTGAGTTTCACTCACCTTTGTGACGTTAACGGCGTAACTTTAAAGTATGGTTATCGTCATTAATTTGATTGCGTTTTCGGAGGATCCGTGTTTAGATTTTGTGTACGATAAAGCGATACTGAACAAGTGGACACTGTGATGGAAAACTGTGAATCAAATCATCAATACAATACAATGTTGGGTTCACTTGTCACAAAATAAAGTAGTACGATTAAATAACATGCAGGATGTTTTCTGAGTTTGCTGGATGACTGATAGGGACAAGAACAGTCGAATGAATTGTTGACATTCCAATCCAGAAGTTAATATATTGTGTGCAAATTAGACATAGAATAAAAATAAGCAGAAGAAGGGTTGCAACGTATGTACATACATACACATGTATGTATTATTCGTAGTACGACTAATAATACTGAAATAATGTGTTAGAGGGGCTTGAAATCTACTGAAACAAGTTTGCTAGGGGGTGGCAATATCAGAGATGCATGTAAAATACTAGTTACGCAGAACTACCAGACCTATCCATATTGTTTGCAAAGTATGAATTGGCAATGCTAAACTACTGGCTGCGTGCAATAAGAGATGAGACTGCTGGTAAGTTGATTTAGTTGCCGATCAATTAATTCCCATCAACTAACGACATACATACATACATATTTCGCAGTAATTTTTTTGTGCAGTTTGTCCACTCCCAGTTAATCCTACATACATGTCTATCTCGTGGAAACTGGACAATTATAATCTGTTGGCTAATGTCGTCCGGATTCATGTGAATAGATAATCTTATAATCGATCATCTGAATTATATAATAAAATCTTAATGAATTGAAATATAGAAACTAATTAACAAAAATTATTAATGAGAGCTGAACCAACATGAATGGGATTAACTATGCACAGATGCATGGAAGATGTGCATACGTGGTAGCTGTCAGGTGAAATATTATAAAGTTGCATGCAGCAAATACAAATACATAAGTGCAACAATTATGATGCCTAAAAATGCCTTCTCTTATTATCCATTGAAACAACGAACGTCGGAATGAGAGACAACTCAAGATCTGTACGTGACCAATATGCTACGTAATAAGACGTGTGGAGTTCAGGCTCTGAAATTGTCTACAATTATGAATATAATTAATTCTACTCAGGGGACGAGATTATTATTTTTTACATTAATTATTCTTCTTCTGTAGGCAATTGTTAGACATAGTAAAAAAATAAGCATATTGCTGGAGGGAGAATTATCTTTTGTCGTTAAAAGTTGTTACATATGTTCATACGCTAATCCCAAGCTTTATGTTAGACTTTGTTGTTGACTCGTGTCTCCCAATCAGGCGATTGTCAGCTTATCAAAACGGGGTTAACTAACACGACCTGAAGTAAACAGAGGAAAAATACTTGTTATTGGAACGTGGTGACAACAAAGAGAACACACCTCCAAGAAAGAATGCATTTCCCATGCAAAATTATTGGATTGTAAAGATGAAAGATGACATTGGTACTGCGCATTTAAAAATAAGAATGTGCCTGACAATATATTGCATTGCACTGGAGAATTTAGGAAGTAAATGAATATTGTGATCTGTTGGCTATAGTTCAAGGCTATAGTAAACATTTTAAATATATAATTCGGCTTTATACTTTGAGGGCAAAAATAAAATTAGAACTTGGAAATTTTTATGGAGATAGTACAATCTCTTTTTTGACTAGTCGGCGTGAGTACAGTAATATAAATAATACATCAGGTGAATTGAATCACGTATTTTTGAATGTCTCCATTTATTCCACCTATGTAACTAAACTATACGTATGATAAATACATAAATCCAGCACAACGGATTTCATCTCTGTTATCTACTTTCCGTTGAAAAGAGGATGATGCTTCCTTCCTTTGGGTTTTACCTCTCCGTAATATTTATTTTCAAATTTAGCAGGTCTGTCGTTGTAGGCCCATTGACGTCGATAGTACGATCGGTCGACACGATACCCGCTGATCCGTTGGTCAGGAAGGCTCAGGTTATCCAGCAGATTAGTCAGACCTTCGTCGTCAAGTTGCAGTGTTGGTGTATACTTTGCTGAGCAGCATTCTTCAACAATGCTCAACAGTACCACAAGAGCCACCACAATCTATTAAAATTAAGTAAATAATAATGTACCTAAGTACAATGCGTAGTCTGATGGCATTGCGGACAATATCATGGAAATTCAAACTTTATTTAGTACTTGTACTTACGCACAATTTGGTTGATGAAAAACTATTCATAGTTGTGGCAATTGTTCTGCAAATCAACTCGATGAATAACTGAATGATGTAAATTAACTCCAGAGTTTTTGGGCTGAAACTTTTATTAATGTTTTGCAGATAATTAAAGTGCTAAATAAATATGCACAAACAACAACTTCTCCCCAACCACCGGAAACTGTTGTGGCATTGAGCTCATTGATGGACAAATCGGCTATTCTCTAAAATAAAAGATGACCCAAATTGACCGCTAACTTCCTGTTTATTCACCTTTCATGGAAATATACAATTTGGACTCAAAATGTCTCTTGTAAGGTTTGCAATGCAAACATGCCATTGAACTGGTTGGATCTAAACAATGTAATTTCAATCAGTATCAAAGGTTTTTTAGCGTTTTAAATGTTCAGACGACGGTTGTAGTCAATGAAATAAATGCGATGTCTCTTAGACTTTGGAAACGCGTAGCTATATCCATGCTCCCAATAAAACCCATGCTTATTTTTCCTAAATTGGTAGTCATCAGGGAAGTTTTCATACATTCCGCTATTTGGTGTGGATTCGACCAAGCAGTCCAAAAGTACAATTACGGCAAGAAAAATGACCTATGTATATGTTACCAAAATTATTATATTATAATTACTAAAAATTATATTTAAAACGGAAATTAGTAAATTGATCAAACTTACGATATTCATCATCAGGCGAAGTAGTGCCATTTTTGTCGATCCTTCTATTAACTTAATGAATATAAGCCTTTCCTGATTTTTTTACCTTATTTGGATTAATACGGTATTAAGACCAGAGGAAAAATTCACTTGTGATTGATTGTGGACGACAACCGACTGAAAATAGTAATATGTTATGCACATCGTCATACATAAAGTACCAACTTACTTATATGATATTATGCTAATCGTGCAATTAATATAATTAGTTTGAACAATGTAGAACGCAGACATCAGTAAGTGCATGTAATTACAAAAATTATAGAATTTAAACAATGTACGTAATCCTAATAGTAATCTCGTAACCATTATTGTACGTAGGATAATTGTAAGATTTTCCAGGGCAAACGTAAAAGAATACAATTTATTAGTTGTATCACAAAATCTCAATAAACTAGACATTTTCACCGGTTAACAATCAATGGTCTGACTTAAACAAACAAAGTTTTAAACTTTCAGAGCTTCTGGCTTCCCTTCTATGGATGCTCCTCTATTTTTCTGCTGCGGAGACTTGAAAAACTCTTGTATCTCATCCAGTGATTTTCCTTTCGTTTCTGGTACGAAATAGAACACAAAAATAGTCCCAAGAAAGCAGAATGCTGAAAAAAGCCAATATCCTCCATGCATCCCGAGAATCTTCATCACTTCTTTGAACACCATTGTCACAGCAAATCCTAGGATCCATCTGGTAATCGTAACTAATCCGGATGCCATTCCTGGAAGAGGAGATAATTCGGAAATTAATGAGACTCATTTCCACTCGCCTTCCACGAAGCTACTCAATGAAGGTACTAATGGTTCTCTCAGCTCAAAGAAACTTGCCTTTAACGTTGTTGGGGAGAAGTTCTGCCATTAATAGCCTGTTGTTGTGGGGAGCACAAAAATTGAAATGCCAAAAGGGCTAGTCTTTCAAAGGACAGATTTGTTTGCCCTAATGGCAGTCTCACTTACCAGGGTAGAGGCCTGTGCAACAATGACAGAGAAACGTTATACTCAATTTGCATAATAATTTGCAATTTAGTGCAAAAATGTGTATGAAACTGTACCCCATGCCCACGGAGAAAGCCATAGTGTGAACCATTAGACTGGCTAATGGCAACCAGCTTAGATTTGCAGGTACTTCGTCATTGTTCTGTTGTTTGAGATAAAAAAATGCTCCCATGCCACCGAGTGATATCACCATCCCAATTTCGGATATGAGAAGGAGGCATCGTCTTCCACTGTGATCCACAAATAGTGCAGCAGTTATGGTTGCTAACTAAATACATACATGTGAAGTTCAAAAAATTAGGTTTAAACACCAACAACATCTTAATTTCTTCGGGTCATAATGAATGAGCATATTATACTAACCACTTGAACTGTTCCAACGATATTTGCGGAAAGATTTTCATCAATGTCAGTTCCAGCTACAACGAGGTGCAATATGAGACAGACTCAGAAACGGGAGAGAGAAAGAGAGAGAAAGCGACTCTGGGTAATTTTGCTAAATGAATGGTGTCCGACGCACATGTGTAGGTACATATATTTAATGTTCACATGTAGCTAGAGATAATTATTTGTTGAATAACTTTGTGTTGCACAACTTCCTGCAATTTAATGAAATATCTCATCGGGATTTTGGTTGTGCCCAGATCCATTAACTCTGTCCAACGTGTATAACATGAAAGAGTGAATCTTTGACCATGGTGCGAAAGCGTATTAGTACAATGTAATTTTGCGTGATAAATAAATCCTGATCTGACCGTTTGAATGACTTATGACGTATTATTAGGACACTCGAAAGGCTCATCTCAAAATATTGCGATCGTAAACTTCTCTTGCTCTCTTTCTCTCTTATGCGATTAAGGTGTTATAAATACGTAAAGAATTATTTTACCAGCCCGGAATATATCCACAGTGTAAAACATGACTGCCCAGACAAAAAAGTTCGTAAAATTAATCAACCATTAACTTCCTTAACTAATGTAAGTAATTTACCAGCATCAATTGCACTCAGCTGCTGAAATACCATGAGCATAAGAGCGATTATCGTAGGTTTAAGAATGCTCCCGTCCTTGATAATGTCTCTCCATGACGCCGACTTTTCCATGCTCTCATCCACGCTGCTCACCAACTAAATCCGAGAAAGTAGTGACAAAAGAGAACATTCCGGGGCTTTAGTTCTCCAACAAGAGTATGTATTAAGAGAAATGACGCAGGAAGCAATCCAACTCCAAAGTACTTTATTATTGTTCTTTGGTTGCTCCCACACGAAAATCTGAGAAACATTTTTAGTTCTATATACGTCTGTTCTTTCATCTTTCTCTCGATACAACGTTTACGGATGGATCTTGTACATTTGTCGTAAGAATATTGAGAAACAAATGTTTGATTGTTTCAAAACATCTGAAGGGAAATGAAAAACTCGTCTTATTTTGGTAGACGATGAACCAAGCAACAAAGTAGCAATAATGAACCAAAAATAATAAAAGGCCAATGCATCTCATTTTACCTCGTTCATTTCGCGTTGAATATGTTGAGTTGATTTTGCTCCTCGAAGCCAACACAAGGCTTTACTTGCGTCACTAAGCTTTCTTTGTTCAACCAAATATCTTGGTGATTCAGGGGCAAACATCATGAAGGCATGAAAAACGATAGGGATCACTCCACATGCGACGGCTTGATACTGCCAGTTGACATAGGTTCCAATGATGAATCTATTTCAAAGTCGCATCACCATACTTTTACACACGAGTGATTGGAGCAGAATGGCTAATTGAGGTAAAGGAGACTCACATATATAATATGCCCACTGTGATTAGCATATCAAACCCAGATGCGAGCATTCCTCTTATCTTCACTGATGCCGTCTCAGTAATGTACACAGGAACAACTATTGAACAACCACCTCCACAGAAACCTAGGGAAAATTTATTTTTAAGTAGAATGCATGGTGTGAATGTGTGCATAATGACCATCCACTATGTATATGTATATACTGGGTTATATGCATATACATACATGTCATTATGCTTTTGCGAGATTTGGATGCATAGTTATGAGCTCAATAGATATGAGCTTAGAGTTTGCATGAAGCAAATTCGTTTCACATGTACATATGCAATATACGTGTAGGTATACGTGTACATATGTAAGTACGTACACGTGCAAGAGCATACTCATCTCTTTCTTTCTTCACCAGTTCCGGATGAAAAAAGAAGACTTTGATCTGCTAATATCTTATTGAGGAAAGCTGAAACTTAAACTTTGTAAACCTGTGAGGAATCGTCCAATGTACATCATCCACACATTTTGTGCAAATGTTATCAGTATCCAACCAAGGCAGAAAGGGGTTGTCAATAAGAGCATACATTTTCTCCGTCCGAATTTCTCCATCATCAATCCAACAACTGTGCACGAGGCTGTAGCTCCCAACTATACATATAAACATACGCACACAAATGTGTATAACATTCGATCACAGATAACGACATTCTACACATTTGCTTTCCAGCGGAACTTTGAAGAATCAAACTTTGCACATAAAACGGCTTTTAAAGTAATGCATACCAAAGCAATAGAACTTATCCATGTTTCCTCAAAATCCGAAATTTCTCCAATACTTTTCCTTTCCCTCAAATCGGGGAGAGCAACTGATGTCCAACTGAGAACTGATCCCAAAGCAAATGACCCAAAGTTTGCTGTGTAGACAATGGTAGCAATTTTAGCAAATGTCAAATGTGCAAGAAATTGCACTCATACGTATGCAGCGTCTAAAAGTGGGAACCGCATATAGCAAGAACCTACATATTCAGCAGACGATTGATGCGAAAAATTTTGCTGGACATACGTAATGAGTAACAAGTTTCTTGAGTTAAGCTTCGAGTATTTTTATCAATGTGCGGTAATAAAATGTTGGGAATTGCCCAAGAGATTATTTTAGAGTTTATGTGGCTTTAGAGTAATAATTTAAGTGAAAAGATAACGGGGAGAAAGAGCGAATGATGTTATTATTATTATTGGCGGTGGTATAAAGAGAAGAAGCTTATGCGTACGTATTACCTGCAAGAGCTGCAAAAAATTGTGGAGCGTATTTGTCCTTGAACTGAGATTTTTCTGAAAGGTCTTGAGACTGGGAGCCATCTTCTTGTCCTCCATTGTCATCATTTGAAATATGGTCGCAAGTAGAATTACTGTAACTGCCATTGATCTCGTCTTTCCAATTTTGAACAGCATGATCTTGGCCATCCTTTTCATCTCCGTCTAAACTACTTATTCCCACTTTTAGCTCAAATTCCGATTCCACCACATTTTCAAAATTATCCACTCCTCTCATATTGGTACGTGTGGAAGTAATAAAACAATTTTACTCTCTCTCTCTTTTGAGAAACACGAGAAGAGTCAAGTCGTCAGGTTTCAGTTATTTTCATTTGTGATCACCTTTTTACATAACCACTAACTTTAGTGAGCTGCTGTGCTTTGTATGGAAGGCAAGCTTGTAGAAAAATATTGTATTGTGTAGGACTATATTTAGCGGAATCGATAAGTTGTTAACCAGTTTGCAAATGTAGACTGACGATATTTACATATCTACTGACACTTGAACTGGTTTTTGTAGTTTAACTTGTTGAGCCAATTGAATATTTATATTTATACCAAGTACAGCGAATGTGTATTTGCAAAACTTAATTATTTATGCTGTAACACCCCATTGTTAAATTTTTCTCAATTTCTAGCTTTTAGAAAAGTTTCAAATAACAGGGAGGAGGTGGGCGTTTAATTTTCTACCGATTTTTGTTGTAGATATCTCTTTATCTTCATCTGGAGGGTTGTTGGAGGCACGAGGGGAATTGAAAATACAGTAACTTGATTGTCAGTCAGTCAGTAGTTTAAATAGGATATTTTCTGTACCTGGAATAATAATATTCTTCTGTCTGGAACTATGCACAGACAATCTGCCGATACACTTCAACGTTGTCTCATCTGAAATTTAAACGAAAAGATAAAAATTTCCATTCCAAATTAGCACATTTCAACTGCCACACATCATCATCATCATCTTGCAAGCAAATAATAAACTTGAAATAAATAATAATGACCGGGTTTAGCATGGGATTCATCTGATGCAATAAGAACCCCAGTTGCTATCGAATAACGCTATAATTATATACGGATTTATGTAACAGAATACAGATGACAGACAGATTAGTCTCACGTGGAAAAAGGCAAGGCTAGGGTCGCAGAGAACAATGAATTATAATGTAAATTATGATGTATGTATGTATGTTCTTCTTATTAAGACGAGCGTCTATGCAAACCAATCAACACTGTTCAAACTAAATCGCAACTGTTTGATGCCAGTCAAACTCAGTACAATCTGTTTGCAATTTTGCCTGACGTGGTGGATGATATGATTGTAATAAATGGCGATATATATCCATATGATCAATTGATTAATCGCAAATTGTTGTATCTTATTGACTTTCGATTTACTTGAAATGAAACAAGTAATCACATAAATAACCATCACATTTGACATTCAGTAGCTTTGTATAATAATTGTAGTAGTACATGAAGGTAGCGTTTACACACGAATAGCTAAATATACTATAAGATTTTCGATTGTTGGCACACATTTGTTTTATGAATAGGAATCTGGTATTACAATTTAAGTTGTACGACACGATGTAATAGGTTGCATTGAGGGTTTGTAGAAATAAATAAGTTAAATAATTCATATAATGCAGTGGTCATAAATTACAAGCGACGACAGGACTAGCAGCAACGATCAATTTATGAACAATATCAGTCAGACATTAATTTAAATTCAAACCTCTCTCATCACATTAATAATCGCACAAAACATGAAAAATATTTTCGATTAACATACAAATAAATACGTGATGAAGTAGGAATTACAATTAGTAGCTTTGATTTATCCTAAATCAAAATCATATAAAAATGTAAATAAAATGTGGGCATACACGCAATTGAACATGTAACGTCCACTTCAAAAAGTATCACAAGAGTTCTTGCAGTGAGTGAGTGAGTGATGGTGGTGACCAGTTTAAAAGTTGGGTTTCTACATAATCCCGAATAATTTAAACGATAATGTAAAACGTAGTAGCTAATTTGGGAGAATTTCCTACAAAATTTGATTTTTTATCCAACTCCTTTAGACGTGAACAGGTGAGTCTTCCGAATCCTTGGCGCAATACCGACACCGACAACAGAGCAGACACGGAGCAGCCAGAATTAGCTAAAGAAAAGTGCATTCAAAGTAGAAACCAATCCTAAACTAATTCATTCGTTATCATTCATGTATTCCTTACCAATGGAGATGCGAGTAAGACGAGTACCCCAAATCCAGCAAATATCCCAATAACTTGTGCTCGGTGCCATACAACGGATGCTCGAGAGTGGCCCAGTTTATTTTTGCATGGTCCTTTATCCTGAATAAAAATGAAACCAATCAACGAATGCAATTTTCATCATTTTATTTAGATTAAAGTTAAGATTACTTACATAGTGCCGCAGAAGAAAGTCGTCCTAGAGGGAAGGAAAAAAACAAAGGCAAACATGTTACACATTTTGATATGTACAACAAACAAGAAATAAGTCACTTGACTTACGTCGAGAGAAGCCAGGCAGTACCAGCAAAAGACATGTTTGCATTTCTTGCACATCATCTGCGCACAACCAGAATCCTTCTCGATTGGAACGTGACAAAATGGACACTAAGGAAATGAAGAATACGATAAAGATGCGTCGATTTTGAATATTTTACTTTTTAATTCCATTAAAGCTTGGTTTATTTCGCACTAAAATGTGTAACCTCACCTTTTTAATGCAGTCCAGAGAAAATAATTCTTCATCGTCTACACTTAACTTTCCTTGTTTAATTAATTTTCTTCTGAAAGCTTCACATGAGATTGTAGGATGGCAACTCAATTTACATTCTGCACAAAAGCTGGAATTGCACGTAGTGCAATTGATTGTCAGAGATTTATTAGTAGAGACTCCGTGAGATTTACGGGATTTTCCATCGACATGAACATCTAAATTAGATTCTTGAATACGGCATATCGTCTCACATCCAGGCGTTGGGCACCATACTAAATGTCCGTCCTTTTCTACCTCTAAAAATATATATCAAAATACGGCGTAAGAATAATACAATCTCCCCCCAAAAAAATAATAAAGCAGCCAGCCAGCTATTTATACAATCTGCCACTTACCCCTATAAAGGCGAAACTTTTTGTGTTTCTCCAGCAAACTGGTTGAGACCAACGTCTCCAACTCAGAGATCAATAAAACGCCCTGCAACTGGCAACTCGCATCAGGACAAGCAATCTCGTCTGCTCCCTCTTGAATTTCAAAAGTAATGTATGCTGTGATACACTGAAAGGCAAAAAAAATTGATGGATAACAATTTATACCTCTCAATAACTGTGAAGATCATACGTCTATTTATAATACGCAGTAATATATACAAGGCTTACATCTTTGCAATATCGACATGAACAGGCTGAGATTTCCACCGTGTCTTCTTCCTTCACAGCACAGAGACAGAGTCGGCACATAATTTCGGGAGAAATGTTTTCATCCTGGTCTCTCCAACCAAAGGACGCTACACTGCTAGATCTCGAGTAGGAGGAATTTGTTCCACCTCCACCGTAGAAGGCGTTATTAATTGAAATATTTCTCCGGAGACGATTCAACGGTGTCAGTAGAACGACTCCTCCAGAACTACTTTCAGGAATGGACAGTTGACTTTTCAAAATTTGATGTTGAACATCTGTGGTGTCATTGATAGAACCACAAACTTTAGGACCAGTGACTCCACCGCCACTACCACTGATTGAAGAAGCCGCAAACTCTGGATAATCAGAAGAACTACTACCGGAACTACCGCTGCTGCCGTTGTTTGAAAGTTTCCAACCCGAGAAAAGTTTACTTCTGCTCGTCGAATGCAGGAGACAATTGAGGGTTGAGGATGAGGTGGATAACGTCTTGTTTTTCGTAACTTTTGCTTTTTCACTAGTTCCGGAGCCATGAGTGGCATGGCTTTCTGCTGCCCCACAACAAGTATTACCACCGACATTTGGTTGGTGATGCTGATGGTGGTGACTCCCATTTCCAACAAGGGTTGAGAGGGTTATGACTGTTTCACATTTTCTCATGATCCCACCGGGACGAGATGCAGAGTGTTGTTGGGCTGGTTGGTCTGGTTGAACTGATGACTTTGGACTCTTTGTGTTCAAAAGAAAGTCATTTCCGACCGCGGTCCCGGCAGCAGGTGAGGAGGTGGGCCATTCAGAATACGATAGCACGAGATGACTACAGCTGCCACCGCAATTTCTCATTCCTCCATAAGGTGCATTTCTACCAAAGGAGGAGAAAGTATCACAGTCACGTTGAAATTGGTCAAAACGGTGAGCATGTTGTTGCTGATGAGGTAATGCAGATCCTCCGCACACGCTGTTGCTAAAATGATGGCCTGATGTTGTTGTTGCCGTTGTTCCACCGGGACAGTCTTTGTTGCCCTCATTACTTCCAGCATCGATGGACGACAAAGATTCGCCATCCTTTTCTCCCCGACTCTTCAACTCATTACGTGAGCGAGATCGACTCAGCAGACTTTTCAAATCTTTCAAGTTTGTTGGCATTATTATCACTTTTCCTCAAACACACTCACTCATAAGCAGAACCAAAAGGAACAACGACACACTATGAAAAACTTTCTTTGCGTTCCCACAAATCCAACTTCTGTTCCGGGATAGCAATTCATTCACCCCACAAGAAACGTTCATTAAAGTTCACTCGCGTATAATTATTGTACAGAATGATTCTCTTGTTTAGTGAGTAACACACTTATTCACTTATTTGTTGAGAAGAAGGTGAAATATTGACGACATGTTGCTTCCAATGCAATATTCTTCCAAACAACTGCAATTCAAAATACGTAAGTAATTGAAACTTGAGTCATTGTTAATTTGTAATAACTTTCTTACTCAAAGTAAACAATGAAAGCATTGACGATAATGCAACAGTTCCTAATAGCAGCGGTAAAATAGGAGCACTAGTTCCGCCGGATGTTGGCCGTTTGACATTAGAAAGTGTGAATATTCCTGAACCGTCTTCTTTCTTCCTTGGTTGAGTGGCGAGGGTGAGTTGTTGATATGATTGAAAACACTCTGCAGAAACGTGATCACCGAAAAGGATGTATGCCAAATACAATCTGCATGCTATTTTGGCACGGATTTGTAAACTATGGAAGTACAAGGAGCACACGTTCCTAGCACGTTATGAGGAGACGCTCAGTAAGTGTTCCTGTTTTTCCAAAACCGAGACAGTCTAAATCCGTATATGTAAACTGCAGACAAATGAAACAAAACAAAAAATAAAAATACTGGTAGTCGTATGGAAATTTTAGAAAATTAAGGATGCCATAGACCAAAAGCGGAACAACACCACTAAAACCCGTATCTACATAAGTATCCGCATTTAGGCACAAGAAATAATTCGGATAAGCTGTCCTAGAAATGCATAATTACAAATTTTGCACATGGCATGAAAGGAGAGTATGGAAAATGCATTCTACATACATACGAGTCTCTTGTACAATAGATACAGGCGAGCAAGTAATAATAAGTCAAATAAGTTTGTCGTTAATGCACCCGCACGTCCGAGAACGGTATGCATGCAATTTTTCCATTTATCACGGTGCCATCATTTACTGTTACACGATGAGTCATTGTATTACCGAAATCAGGAAGCTACACAACCAGAATCTGACCACTGCGTATACCTCGAAACCAATGGAAGTGGTCATGCAGACTCTGGTTTGTCAACACAGATCCACAAGCCTCAAACCACACAGTGTTTAAAGCAAATCAGCTTCAGGGAAACTCATACGCACAAAGCTGTCAAATACATTTAAGCAAAAGTGCTTCATCGTACTAATGCTCGAGTGATGTCGCCTGGCTAAATTTAAGCCCCGAAATAATTTACATATTCTTGGATTGGTATTGCTTCTCAAATGGAAATAAAGCATTAAAGTAGGCAGTATAATATGCGTAGTTTTACCAAATACAATCATTTCTTTACAATAAATCAAATATTTATATGTATAATCGCAAAACTTACTTTGCAAGCAATCCAGGTCTGTAAAGTATGTATCAGCAACTCACAGGATGTAATGGATAGTTTTGAATTGACAAAACTCCACTCCACGTTCAATATATCGATCAATTTTATCCAACCTTTACTTGTTTCGCGTATCTCCCAATCTCGAGAATTCTCCCTCTGGAACGTTGGTGGAAATTAGCAATTTTTATATTTCTTGCTAAATTGGAGAAATATTTCAGAACATGTAATTCTGAGAAATGTACGGTTTCTGAGAAACTGAAGGTGTTGAAATCCGTCCATACATATGTATACCCACTGAATAATGTAAAAAGAGTCTCGTTTTTATAAATGTTGGCTGGTGAGGTTCAACCCCAACGGTAGACTGAAGGCGAACTGAACTTCTCTCAACAACTTTGATGCTTTACTAGCTCGCTACGACAAAGAACACGAGCTGGTGCAGAAACAGCGCAAGCTTTTCATCGACACACACACACACAGAGCCAGTCTTCGAAGCAGATAGAATAGCAACAGACCTTTTAGCTGTTAGCTTTTGCTATTCACATACGTAGCAGATCTGCACAAAATGCTGTGGAATACTGTTGTTGGCTTGTTGTTGTATGTCACCAACAAACTCCGGTAGCAGAACTTTTGCAGACAATTCACTACAATTGAGTCTTGTGCCTTCAAGTTCTTTGTGGCTACTGCTCTATTCTACATATGCCTATATCGACTCAAATGTCACAATGTCAAATTTCTTTCTTGTATGGCATTTGTTCCAACAGTGGATGGAGGATCCACAGAAATTCGTCGCACGACAACATATGCATGCACTGCTCACCACAAATGCACATATGAAACGAAACTTTTGTTAGCTCACTTATTATTATGAATCAATTTTACAACAGGATCCGCTTTTTATTCTGACGTAGTCTGACTGACTGACTCAACCGGCATTCTTGCAAATGTAGCTTTTAAGGCTTTGTGGTTTTCTCGTCCGTTTTCTTTAACATTCCATCTGCTCTGCGAGTGATTGAAGTTGCACTTTTGCTTCGTTCAGCTATGCAGGCACAGCGTGCAAGTTATGTTGCAAGTTCATTTTGATTTTAGTAATAGTCTCGTTTCATGCAGCAACGATTCTCACACCCATTAATTTAACTCAATGTGTTGTAAATCCATTGATCACAATCAGAACATTTCATTGGGAAGAAGCCTGCAACAAATTAAATCTCATTTAATGAAATACAACATTTTATGTAATAGATTGCAAAAATATCTGACAATAAATGGTGCTAATCCGTCTTCATAAATACATTTTTCATCACTAATTCACAGTAAAACCTACCTACCCTCACCTATTTTATACATAAGTGATTTATGGCACGCCAAGGAAAAATGATACTTGCGGAATCAACGCTACATTGTGTATGCTATCATCATCACACATTAATATTACTTAATATCAAGCATTGGACATTGGTTACCACTCTTCTTTTGTAAACCCAAACCTAGCATCGTATAAATTGCAAAGAGGTAAAGGCATTCTACACGGTGGTTTGAAAAACCAATAGTTGGGTGCTGTAGGACCTGCGCGCTATAGTGGATTGTAACCGTGGACATTGGTTCTACTGCTGAGAGTGAATCATAATACAATGTTACCACATTTCTTTAGCCAAGGGAATGGAAGAATAAAATAAAGCCTCAGCACCACCAAATCCTCTAAGTACGTGCATTCATTTTTCTGATTGCATTGTGTGCGAGAAGGCAAGTTAGCAAAGTCTCTCTCGCGAAACCAAAAGCACTTTGTGTGGTAATTGAGGTTGTTGGTGGCGAAGTTGAGTAATCAAATGTAGGTCGCACACACACTTCTTTAACGTAAATCAGATTCATTCGTCGCAAAAAATCATGCATAATAATATCTCAACATTCTCGAGATCATCCCGCAATGTAATAACGACGGCAAAATATAACTGTACTGTATAAACAGCATTTGAGGATGCTTAATATTTTTCATGCAGTATACTTGCATGCATATTATGCTACACTGCATTGGAGGCAAGAGACGACATGACAGGATCAACGAGTAAATTTTGTGCAGCTTGGGATAAAAAAAACTTAAATCACGAATGGCGAATATACCCACCAGACCACAATCACTGCGTACTAAATACAAATATTTAAGCGGAATAAACTTTGCACGTTATATTATTATTGACAATTGGTAAATAATATTAACAAAAATAGTTATGCATGTTGGAATTCGCATCAGTTCAGAGTTTTATATATTTTTGTACATCCTAATTTTTGAGGCGGAAGTAGACACACGCAAAACAAATAACGACAAAAATGAATGGGTAAACATCCAGTAAACATAAATTCCAATTTTAGCTGATACTTTATACTTCGTGTGAAGCAGACAAATTACGCTTCAAAAATTGAATTCTGCTCATAGATGAATCACATTTGTATAGGTGTATGTAATACAAACTTACATACATAAATATTGTTTATCTGCAATTTTGAGACAATGCTACAAAAGTTTATGGATCTTTTACACATACAGCTTTGTTGTTGTTGTTGCACAGAGGAATTCATAGCAATCAACGCGAGGATGAATTGTTATTCACACTTTTGTACTACCGTGTACATAAAGGACGATGAAAATATTTTTAGAAACGGTAGAGTGGAAATGTAATCGTTTAAGACTTACGACCTTTACATAAAATTGATGGAAAGTTGGAACTTTTGATTAAAAGTAAAAAGTTACTTAACTGCTGATGTGAAACTTATAGTGCAGAACTCCATGTTCTATGCATGTACAACAGGAACGAAAGTACACCCCATAATTTTTTCCCCTATTATGTATTATCCACTCATTAAGCACAATATATTGGTCTTCACGCAATTTGGTCATTTTATTCTGCTACCCAACTTTAAGCTTAATCGTAGCTCATTAATTAATAGATTGTACTCTCGCATGAAACGAAATTCTCTTGAGTATTATTTCACGACGAGGCATATTCTCATAATGTAATGCGTATGCATGTAGATGTTGCTGTCAGTGGCATATGTAGTTCTCTTCCCTTAATTTTAAAAACTATAGCAAAGATCAAGATCAAAATCTAGTTTGCGAGTTGCTTAGAGAGTTGAAATATCGCTCACTCTCCTGAGAAGGAGAGGCAGTTAGCTTTTAATTCAGGAAACAAAGTTTATAAATTGCAATAAAATCTGTGTGGTATTGAGCTGACCGTTAGTAATAAAATTGTAATTGAATTAATAGCTCAGGTGGAGCAATTTCAATGATCATTGACGAAAGAGAGGAAAAATTATTCCAAACAACAAATAAATAACCACAATCTAATGATGGAATATATTACATGTATACATACGTACGTATCTAGTAAGCCAGCAGCCTTGACCTTTACCCCGATCCTATATCATGGTACATATATTCTCTATAAGGATACAATACAACGCATGTGACCAAGTATGCATGTGGATACGTATGTAGATGTAAGGCGATATCTAGCAATTTAGCCATTGAAAAAGTCGTCCGCTATTAAGTGCATATTTCTATTACTGCTTGTCACCAAAAAGTAATAGAACGGTGACCAAGTTGCTGACCATACCAACGGCTGCTGGCAAATTGAGGTGGCACGGAGATGACAAGCTATTCTGTTTGCTAATGAGGATATGCTGTGCCAAGACTACCAAACAAGATTGCGGTTGATCGTAATATCTGTCAATCTGTGTCATGTCATTGAAAAATAAAATACTTTCTTTTGCAAATGCGGTTCGTTGCTTTCATAAAACCCAGACAGGGTGAAGGGTGAATTGTCTCATTCATTGGAGCCAATAAACTCTATTCGCGTAGCTTTTCATTGTCAATTGTAAACTAATGTGGCAATTTAAATACAATTTGATCAAAACTCCTAAAATGGGAGCACATCCTATTTCAATTGTTAACAATTATCATGCTTTAGCAAATTCATATTCAAGAATTTATAAAGTCCGGTTCACACACTAATAGGTTTTCAAATTATGTGTTACGTGTCATAAAATCGTTGAAAGATTACTGTCACTGCTTAGCACTTCCTTTTGAAAATGAAAGGAAGTAAACTTCACAATATGGTCAGCGACGAGATGGTGACAAGTGCCAAATGTATGCCAATTACAAACTCACTGGCCGTAACAAACATAAAGCCGTACTTACCAGCTATCCTACATATTTATGTTATTTATGTCTCACAAAATGATGTCAACTGATCTTCCTGAAAAAAAGGGAAAAATGTGCAGTCTCGAACTTAAAAAAATATCCTTTGATCTCACACTAAATTTAAACTAACTGATTCATACAAAGCTAACATTATAATTTGCAAGATTGATGGGGTTATACGCTCTGGTTGTATTGAAAGGGCAGGACGTTGAGTTCTCTACTACACGGATAATACGACGAACGCCAAGTTTATACATATTTGCGACAACTTATGTAAGTCAGCAAACACTCAATCTGTTGTTGTATCAGTTTGTGTAGCAAAAGTAAATTGAAAAAGCTGTGGCTGAACGAATCTCATAAACACAGATAAGCTTCATTTCGGATTCAATTGATCGGAATAATCATTTTAATCCATCCATAAGAGCACCACATTACATTGCTCAATCGGAACTGGATTAGACCCACTTGGTAAAATTCAATCACCTCTGACACAGCAGTTGCAGTTCATGTGATATGCATACTTATTTATATGAAAAACATCAACAACATCCATCCAACAGGACTAAATGGATTTTACTAATAGCTTGGCTAATCTATCCCAGCGTCTGGTAAACAAAATTACATATTAAACATTATTGAATGATGATAATTCTAGTAAACCAATGATTATCAATCTGCACGTAGCTGCACGTACTATTTTGCTAATAAAGTAAGGTACATATTTATTTTTATATAAGTATTTATCCCTTGAACTACTTGAACTATACAACGGAAATGCTATGAAACATATCTACGTATGGTATGCATGCAAAAACTTCGTCCAGCGATCCCCGCAAGTTGTTAGCTTTGCCTTAAATAAAGCATTTGAACAGATAGTTATGTAAGAATATGATCTCACTGTTGTTCTGTACTAAATAAATAGCATAAAGCATTGGGTGAGATCATGATCCACAAGGCAAAAGATTAATCCAGTCTTGGGATAGCCTTCAACCGTCAATTTAAATGGAATGCTGTAACCATATAGAGGATGATGACACGAGGTTACAGCGTGATAAACAAACATCAAGGAAAACACCACCGAATTTGAGAAACAAATGGTTTGAAGAGCAGCCAAGTCTCGAGAACATCCCCGATCTGAATGCACAATATCTGTGAGCTCTTATGGCTTATGTACTTACGCATGAAATTAGTATCCAATCATGTCGACGATCATTTAGCTGTTGGTACTGCATTTACTTATTTCGTAGATAAAATTCAGCTTTGCACATTGGTAAATTGTGGATCGATTTTTTTTATGCACTTAACTTTTCTTATTACTCATTTGCAAAAATGCTTCTAACAGTAAGTTATTGAGCCAGCATGTCTCTGTCTTAAGTCATGATGTACGAAACGATTGTCGATGCTTGCAAACAAGTGATAACAAACAACCTTGATACAACAAAATCGTGAAAAAAACAAAGCCCACAGTAGAAATCTACAGTAGCCGCTATTTACCTAGTTAACCACCAGTCACACTATTTATATTTACTAGCACAACGAAATTCTTTCCTTTGTTCAGTTTACTATTGCTTGCATAATTATAGCTGCACTAAAATAAAAACAAAGTCTGTAGAAGAAATTAACCCTATTTCTTACGATCCTGTCACTGTACTGGCCGTTTGACATACTTTTATCTTCACTCAATTCCATTACATGCTGCAATTGAGTTGTGAATAACAAACCAAATTGGACATCCAGTCATCATTTCATCCATGTCATTCTTATTAATAATATTTTTGGTTTAGTCTGTACAGTATTAACAATCTTAAGAAATTTAAATGAGTATGTATTTACATACCAATAAACATGCATTTGTACAACAAGTCATTTGTCTGACTAAGAGAATGTCCGAATTTGTTATGAGCTAAAAAATTCGTTATGTAATTAAGTAGCTGTTATGATTCTTCACTGAACAAAGGTTGTTTTCAACTCAACAATATTTAACTGACATCACAACT